TGTCCTTGAACATTAAACACTGGGAGAGAGATGGAGCCTGAGGAGTTCCCAACAAAGGGCCCTATGTAGTTCACCCTGCTTAGTAATAGATTTTGACAGTTAAAAATGGGCCTTCCCTGATCACCAGGTCTAAAGTAGGTCTTCTTTCCTTCAGTTGCTGGGGCTTTGAAAGAGATTGGAGTATGGGGGATTGACCCTTCCCCCCCCCCAAAAAAGCAGGCAAAGGCTTTAGGGCCCTCAGCATAACCTCTAGCTACTTTCAAAAGCTTGAATAGCATCTAATTTTACAGTTGTCATCAGATTTTTCCAAGGGAGCTGTGAAGTGGGCGAGAACGGGTAATAGGCTCCTTAATTTACTGATTCTTTTAGAGATACTTCATTATAACCAGAAAGTGATGATCAATAGACAAAATAGAATGACACACATGCAAGCAACAGAAGAGTCCGCGGACAGTTTTCACCCATACCTCATTTTAACAAGTCACTGGCAAAAAACTGGTTATTCAGAATTTAAATATGCAGGATGGTTAATGAAAATAATTGATTTTCCAAACCGTCATTGAGTCTGTTCATGAATCGCATTGCTATTTCAAATGTCATTAATAGCGATTACAGTATCATTGATTACTATTAACTTGGGCATTTGTTCAATATGAATGGCAAGGCCCTGTCACATGCCGAAGTTAAGAGAATCCAGGTGCTGGTAATATAGCAGTGGGCAGATAAGGCCCTGTTCTCCCTGCTCTGTCACTGTCGTGACACTACCAATTTTTTTATGATTTAAAAAAGAAGGTAATTTGCCATTAGAACCTTTTGGTCATTTTAAGAGGTGGAAGATGCTGTTTGACTAATTTTTAACTTCTGCAAGTCATTTGACTTTCCCCAGTGGGTTATGGAAAATTAGAAGCCGTCGTTAAAAAGCTTTGATATGTTTTCCATTTACCTCATCCTCTACCATCCTATTGCATACTAAGCTTAAATCTTTTTTCCAGTCTTGCAAATGGCAATCTAAGGTTTTGCACCTACTCGTTCTTTGTCTCCAGATTTTCACATGGCTGGTTCCATGTCATTCAAGCCTCAGATCAAATGTTTCTTAAGCTTTCCCTAATCACCCAGTCTAAAGCAACGCCCTTCACATTCTATCACCACACCGTGTTTAATATTCCCTGGCATTTGAAATAGAGTACTGCTGTATTGTTTGTCATCACGCACCTTGCCCATGGGGGCAGGAGACCTGTCTGTGTTCATTGCTGTAGTTTCAGCTCCCAACATAGGTTTCAGTATTGGCTGAGTAAAGAAATGGTTGGAGAAGCTCACCAATCAGCCAGTCCAGTATGGCAGAAAGCCCTGCCTTTTACCTTTGCCAGCCTACCCATCCAGGCCTCAGCCAACAACAAGACCTAAGTTTCCTCCAGGTTGACCTGTTCCTGCTTTATTCCTTTTTAAAGATTTTTATTTATTTGAGTGAGAGTGCTCCAGCGAGTTGGGGGAGGGGCAGAGGGAAGAATCTTAAAGCAGACTCCTTGCTGAGCATGCCGGGGGGGGGGGGGGGGGCGCCCGCCAACTCAGGGCTCCATCTCACGACTCGTGAGATCATGACCTGATCTGAAACTAAGAGTCAGAGGCTTAACCCACTGAGCCACCCAGGCGCCCCTGTTCCTGCTTTATTCTGTCAGCATGTCTCAGATCCTAACTCACCAGCTCACCAGTGTTTTGGGAAACTGCATCCCTTACCCCAGCCCAAGGTGGAAAGGGGGCTGAGAGATTCACCCAGCCTGTGTTCCAATGGGCTGAGGTCATAGGACTCTATGGTGCCCTATCCCCAGGCAGTCCTGTTTCATGACATGATGAAAGACATTGACATCACAACGCATGAGGTGAGCTGCACTTTGGGGCATAGGTGCAGGGTCTGGTGGAGGAAGCAACAGTTGACAGGGCCCTGCCAAAATTGGAGATAAAGTGGCTGTGGGTGGAATGGACACCTCCTGGCAACCTTGGGATCAAGCTCAAGAGGCTAGCAAACTACAGACAGAAGATACTTAGGTCCCTGTGCCTTGGAGGGTCTATGTGTCACCAATCTGCTCAGGGCTGTTTCCACCTCTGCAGAGATTTGATCTAATGGGGAGGTGGTAGAAAAAGCTCAGTATAAAACACTAGATAAGCTCTTGAAGCCCAAAAGTTTCTTGTTTGTTTTTTTGCTTAATCTTGTATTATAGGATTTTTCAAACACAGGAAAGTAGGGATAATATTGTAATGCAATGAACCCCTGTGTACACATTGCTCAGCTTTAACATTTAACAAATGGCCAATCTTTTTTCATTATCTCCCATACTTGCCCCACAGCTCCCCCGGCTTATTTTAAAGTGAATCCTATGGGATGCCTGGGTGGTTTAGTCAGTTAAGCGCCTGTCTTCAACTCAGGTTATGATCCTGGGGTCCTGGGGCATTGGGCTCCTTGCTCAGTGGGGAGCCTGCTTCTCCCTCTGCCTGCCACTCCCCCTGCTTGTGCACTTGCTCTCCCCGCCCCCCCCCCCCGGCAAATAAATAAAATCTCTTAAAAAAAGGAAGTAAAACCTGTATACTTCATGTTATTTCATCTGTAAATACTATGTATCTGAAAGAGATAAGGACTGCCTTTTTTTTTAAAGTTTATTAATTTTTTAGTAATCGCTACACACAATGTGGGGATCGAACTGAGGACCCTGGGATGAAGAGTCACATGCTCTTCTGACTGAGCCAGCCAGGCACCCCAAACTTTTTTTTTTTAATATTTTATTTTTTTAGAGTGGGGGTAAGGAGCAGAGGGGGGACAAGCAGACTCCATGCTGAGCAGAGCCTGACATGGGGCTCAATCCCATGACCCCGAGACCACGACCTGAGCCAAAATCAAGAGTTAGATGATTGGGGCACCTGGGTGGCTCAGTCGTTAAGCATTTGCCTTCAGCTCGAGTCATGATCTCAGGGTTCTGGGATCAAGCCTTGCATTGGGCTCCCTGCTCAGCGGGGAAGCCTGCTTCTCCCTCTCCCACTCCCCGTGCTTGTATTCCCTTTCTTGCTTTCTCTCTCTCTCTGTCAAATAAATAAATAAAATCTTTAAAAAAAAAAAAAGTCAGATGATCAACTGACTGAGCCACCCCAGTGCCCTCTTAACTCCTTTTTACCATAGACACATAAGCCATTACTGTACCTTAAAAGTTTTAGTAATTAGTATCAGCTAATATCCTGATCATATTCTCTATTTCATAAATTACTTTTATGGTTCATTTCTTGGAATTAGGATCCAAACAAGGTCCACACATTGCAACATTGCATGATGTAGCTATGTCCCAGAAGTGTCTTATATTCTAAAGTGGTTTCCCTTTCCACGCTATTCCCCTATTTTACAGGTTATTTGACCCATATATTTCCTATATTTTTGAAAAACTTTATTCATTTATTGAGAGAGGGCGCGAGTGCAGGTGGAGGGGCAGAGGGAGAGGGAGAGAGAATCTTTTTTTTTTTTTTTTAAGATTTTTTTATTTTTATTTATTCATTTGAGAGAGAATGAGATAGAGCATGAGAGGGGGGAGGGACAGAGGGAGAAGCAGACTCCCTGCCGAGCAGGGAGCCCGATGTGGGACTTGATCCCGGGATTCCAGGATCATGACCTGAGCCGAAGGCAGTCGCTTAACCAACTGAGCCACCCAGGCGCCCGGGAGAGAGAATCTTAAGCAGACTCCATGCCCAGCATGGAACCAGATGTGACCACCCTGTGATCATAACCTGAGCTGAAATGAAGAGTCCGATGGGAACTGACTGAGCCACCCAGGCGCCCCTATTTCCTGTATTTTGGATATAGTAGGTTTCATTCCTATGATGTTTATTTATTGTCATGTTCCTACTACCCTCCATATTTCCTATCAACTGGTATTTGCATCTTGAGACTTGATCTGGTTCAATTTTTGGCAATGAGTGAAGCTTTGTACTTCCTATGCATCTCACAAGGAGATGACGATGTGATGTTATGATGGATTAGTGAGATCAGGTATTGTCAGTGGATCTATCCCTTATAATGGCTTTTTTTTTTTTAAACAAGGTGAATCTAGATCATTACCATCACCCCTGAAAATTCCCTAGTTTCTCTTTCCAGTCAATTCTTAGCCCAAAGTCAATCACTTTCTGAAAATTTTTTTCACCATTGATTAGTTTTTCCTGTTCTAGAACCGTGTATAAATGGCATCATATAGATGCCACTCTGTATCTGGGTTCTTTCATTTATTCAGTTTTTTTTTTTTTAAGATTTTATTTATTTATTTGACAGAGAGAGAGATAGCAAGAGCAGGAACACAAGCAGGGCGAGTGGGAGAGGGAGAAGCAGGCTTCCCGCGGAGCAGGGAGCCTGATGCGGGGCTCAATCCCAGCACCATGGGATCATGGCCTGAGCTGAAGGCAGCCGCTTAACGACTGGGCCACCCAGGCGCCCCTATTCAGTTATTTTTATTTTATGAATATGCCACAGTTTTTTTGTCCATTTCCCCACGAAGGATATTGAGTCAAAACTCCTGAATCCAAAGGTCGCAGCTGGCGGGACTTAGCTTCCACTGGATCCTAACGTGTTCCCCTTCTTCCTCCCGCCGTGTCCCATCTCTCCGCGTCTTGCCTCCTGCAGCTGGGAAGCCAGAGAGCTCCCAGTTGGCAGCTAAATTTGTGGAGTAGATTTGACTGACAGCCAAGATCCCCAGGGATCAGTGCCCTCCGGACCCGGAGTGGGTTTCGCCCATTTTACGAAGTTCTGAAATCTAGCAAAAGTGCTCAACCCTCGCTTGAGCGAGCTAGGAGAACTGGGTGTACCCTTAAAGATTAGTGATGATGGGAACACTTCCCTCTGGCCAGGTAGGAGATTGGAGCGTTGACCCTTTGCCTCCCGTTTTCAAATGTCCCTTCCCGCGCGCCGTCCCCGTCCCGGAAGGCTAAGCGCTGGTCGCGCGCACGGGACTTCCGGGAGGTCTAGGAAGTCGCTTCTCTCTCTGGCAGGGGGCGGGGTTTTCCCCGCACGCCGCGAAATCTGTGGGTGTAGACCGGGATCCTGGTTACAGGCGGAGTGGACCGGGGAGGGGCGGGTCGGTCCCGCGGCTGCTGATCGGGACGAGGGTCCTCCGAGGCTGCGGCTGTCTGACCGAGAGGTGGCCATTCATTCGCGCGCCGGAGCGAGGGCCCCTTCGGGGGCTCTTTCGAACCGTGCCCAGGCCTGAAGGAGCGCGGTCCTGCGCTTACCCCGGGCTGCTGCCGACCTTCTCTGAGCGGAGGACGTCGCCCTTCTTCCACCCCGCTGCTCCGGTGCCCGCTGCCATGGCTTTTCCCCATCGGCCGGACGCCCCAGAGCTGCCTGACTTCTCCATGCTCAAGAGGCTGGCCCGAGACCAGCTCATCTATCTGCTGGAGCAGGTCAGTGCCCGCCGCGCCTGGGGCCTTCTCTGCATCAACAGTTTAGCGCTCACTGGACGCATAGTTCTTCCTTGCGGAGCCCCCTTGATCTTGTTCCAGGCCCTTGGTATTGTCCTTGGAGCTTCTGGGGCGGGTCCAAAATGAAGCATTTAGGAAGGAAAACCAGAGGGCAGTTAGGAGCTGCTTGGGACCTGGCAGAGAAGTCACTTCTTTTTGGTACAGGCAAGGGGAGACACCAGTCGTTCCCCGCATCACTGGGGGATGGAAGGATGGTTAAGACATCATTGTCCTTAAGGATCGACTCCAGTAGGAGCCTATGAAATACGGATTACCACACACGGCGTGGTGTGTGGTAAATGGGTGATAGCTAGGGTGCCGGAAGCATTCAGAATAAGCGGTCATTTCTAGCTGGATTGATCTAGGAATTTTAAGGAGCTGGATTGTGAAGAATAAGCATATTTTCCTTGGAGATGGGGGAGCATGTTCCAGGCAGATGGACTGGTTGGTAGAAGCAAAGTTGAGAAACCAGGGAAGGAGAAGGCCCGTACAGGGAAGAGAGCAATCAGAAGTTACGCAGTGGGCATTAGGCAGCCACTGAAGATTTTCTTTCCCCACTTAAGGGGTGAAGCAATACTCGAAGATGATTCTAGGGGCGCTGGGTGGCTCAGTCAGTTAAGTGGCTGCCTTCGGCTCAGGTCATGATCCTGGGGTCCTGGGATCGAGCCCCTAGTCGGGCTCCCTGCTCATTGGGGAGCCTGCTTCTCCCTCTCCCTCTGCCCCTCCCCCCAGCTTGTACACACACACACACTCTCTCTCTCAAATAAATAAATAAAATCTTTTAAAAAAATGAAGATGATTCTTATAGCCATGTGCGGAGTGGGGTGAATGGGGAACAAGAATGCTGGTTAGGAGACCACAGATCAGGTGAAATTAGTGACAGTGGGAACGAAAGGCGGGGATGGATTTTGAAGTCATGGTGAAAGAAGACTCAAAGATTTACTGATTGTAAAGGATGACAGAGAAGCAAAGCTGAGTTTGAGATTTTTATCTTATGTTAAAAGGAAAACAATGCTGTTGCTATAGTTGTAATGTGTTATATGTATATTTTCTTACTTAATGTCCACGTTCCCTACTAGATTAGAAGGTCCTTGAGGACAGGGAACATGTCTGTTTTGTTCAGCACTGTGTACCCAGGGAGTACCTAGTGTAGAGTCAAGCACATAGCATGTGTTTAATAAATATTTTTTAAATGAACATTGAATTGAAATGAAAAAAAAAAATTAGAGGAAGGGGCTGATTAGTTTGGGTTTGGAAAGGGTGAAGTGAAGATGCTAGGAGGAACATCCAGCAGATAGAAACATAGAGCTGCAGTCGGGATGAAGATGGGTACTTGGAAGAACCTCAGAGAACCTCAGGGGATCTGGGACCATATTTTAAATCTCATTTATATGCCCCGTAGTGGTAGCACAGTGATTGGCACATAAAAGACGCTCAAACGTGTGAGGAATTGAAAAGAGATGCTAGTTAAGGCTGCTTATAGGTGAGAAGCACATAAAAGAGAGTAAATGAGACCAAGGACAGGCACTTGTACTTGGAGCTCGGGAGGGGCTGCCCACAAGGGTGACTTACCATGGCAGGTGCAGGTTTCTGTGCAATAATTTGCTCTTCAAACTGACTTCTTCTGACTTAATTCTTGTTTTGTTTTGTTTTTTAAAGATTTTATTTATTTGACAGAGAGCGAGAGCAGGAACACAAGCAGGGGGAAGTGGGAGAGGGAGAAGTAGGCTTCCCACCAAGCAGGGAGCCAGATGTGGGGCTCGATCCCAGGACCCCGGGATCACAACCCAAGCCGAAGGCAGACCCTTAACTGACTGAGCCACCCAGGTGCCCCTGACTTGTTGACTGGCACTGCTGTTCAGGCTCGAGCCCTCAGAATCATCTTTGACTCTCCTTCCCTCCTCATATTTAACTGAACCAGTTGCTGAGTCCCAAGGATATTGCCTCACACCCGACTTTAGAGATTATACAATAATATTTACACATGACAGAGAAGGTAGAAGATGAGGGAAAGTATAAAGAGAAGAAAATCGGGGCGCCTGGGTGGCTCAGCCGTTAAGCGTCTGCCTTCGGCTCAGGTGGTGATCGTCGGGTCCTGGGATCGAGTCCCATATCGGGCTCCCTGCTCCGCGGGAAGCCTGCTTCTCCCTCTCCCACTCCCCCTGCTTGTGTTCCTGCTCTCACTGTGTCTCTCTCTGTCAAATAAATAAATAAAATCTTAAAAAAAAAAAAAGAAAAAAATCACATTCAACTAACAGATACAAGCGCTGTTAACACTGTTAATTTCTTTCAATTATTTAAAAAATTCTCTTACACATTCCATGTATCCTTAACGTATTTTTGTTCATAGCACCACCAGCTTAAATCAGGTCCTCATTTATTGCTACGCGCTTGGGCTGCTTGGACTGTTGCTTTAACCACATACGTGGACTCCCTGCCTCAGTTTCCAATGCCTCCAATCCATTGTACTCACAGTGCTTGCCCAGTTATCTAACTAAAATTGCCAGCTGAGTAGATTCTTCAAGGCCCAAAAGCTTTCTGTTCCCTTGTTCATAGAGGATCAACTCCAAACTCCCTAACCTGACATTGGTGTCCTTCATGCTCCAGTTCCAGTCAACTTTTTCAGTCCTATTTCCCACCATTGCCCTACATCAAGATTTCCCAGCCACTGACATTTGGGGCCGGTTAATTCTTTGCTGTGGGACTGTCCCAAGCATTGCAGGATGTTTAGCAGCATCTCTAACCTCTACCCAGTAGATGGCAGTCAAACCCCTTGCCCCAAGTCAAATAACCAAAAATGTCTCCGACACTGCCAGATGTCCCCATGGGGCAAAATCATCCCTGCTGGAGAACTGCTGCCCTACACTTACCTTATGCAAACCAAATTGCTTGTTCTGTCCTTACCATTCAGCCTGTTCTCTTGCCCCGGCCTTTGCTCGATTGCCATCTTCTATCACTGCCAACACCGTACCCATTTGTCGAGGCCTAGTGGAGAGCAAACTTCTTTTTTTTTTACTTATTTGAGAGAGAGAGAGCATGAGAGAGCACAAGCAGGAGGAGCAGACTCCCCATTGAGCAGGGAGCCTGATGCGGGGCTTGATCCCAGGACCCTGGGATCATGACCTGAGCTGAAGGCAGCCGCTTAACTGACTGAGCCACCCAGGCGCCCCTGGAGAGCAAACTTCTGATGACTTCCGTCTCTCTGCCACTCAGTGGGACCCCTCCTTCCCCGGGACACCTGAGACAGCAGCATCAGAAGGGATGCAGGAATCAGATGGCAGGGATTTGGATGGGAGAGTGGGTGGGTGGCTTTGGACTGTTCTGGGCTAAGTTGTCTGCGTTGAACGTGGGTTATTTTTATAATTAGAAGAAAAACGCTACTTAAAAAGAGATGGCAGTTAGTTGAGGGGTTGACAGATGCAAAGTGGGGCTTTGTTTGGTTTGGATTAGTTCAGCAGGCGATCGGGGTTGTTGGGAGGCAGAGTGGAGAACAGAGCCATGATGCAGAACAAGGTCATGGGCAAGCGTTGAGTGGTTGAGTGCCGAGGACTTAACCTTCAAGAAGGTGAAATAGTTCTCCACTGGTACAGAAAACGAGAAGACAAACTAGGTGAATATATAAAGAAACGTCTGCTGTGGATACAGACAAATAAGATCCTGGGTTAGATGATAGCACTAGGGCACTTCCAACCCAGTCTGTGCTTTTATTAAGTGGATGGCTGGACGAGCTCAGCTGAGGGAGCGTATGTGACCTAGGAGTGACCCAATGTACTGTGTCCTTCAGCTTCCAGGAAAAAAGGACTTGTTCATTGAGGCAGATCTCATGAGCCCTTTGGATCGGATTGCCAATGTCTCCATCCTGAAGGTACCTGCCCCTTTTCCCAGTGGACTTGGGCTCCTCTTTGCTCACGAAGCAGTTTTTATCTTAATGAACAGTACAAATTACTAATGAGTGACTGCCCTTTTAGGGAAATTGCAGGCTGGCTGAATTGGGTGGACAAAGGGGGATGATTGTGTTGTTTGGATTGGTTTTGAATTGTTTGGATTTGTTCTGTTGACAGTTTGAGGAAAGTTCAGCGGGATGGTTGTCAGGGCAGTTTGATTCCCAGAAGAAGCACAGAGGATCCCTTACAGAAGTCCTCTTTGTGTCCTGCTTTGGGTTTCCAAGAACTTACGTGCATTGTCCTGTTGGGTTCTCTCTTTAGCAACATGAAGTCGACAAACTGTACAAAGTGGAGAACAAGCCAGCCCTCAGCTCCAATGAACAGTGAGTATCTGGGAGAGTCTGTCTGGGCTCCAGGCTGGAGGAGGTCCCCGCAGCTCTGCCTCCCGTCTGTCCTTGGCTGGATCTGGCGCCATGTTTGTGATGTGGTTCACCTGTCTGCACTTCCGCAACTTCACGCCTAGGTTATGCTTGCCCTCTTACTTGGTCTCCCTTCCGCACTTTCTCCCTCCCCTGTCCTCTTCTCTCTCTAATCCAGTCCACCATCTCTAGCCAGATCGATTAATCTTTCAAAAATTTTTTCATTATGCTCTTCTCGGGAACCTTCAAGGCTTCCCTTACTTGCTGACTAAAGTCCAGATTGCTCATCACAGATTCCAAGGCTGCCTCCAGTGAGGCTCACCTTGCCTTTCCAGCCTGCTCTGTCACGTGTCCCCTCAAGCCTCTGCTTGACACACACTTTCTTTTTCTTTTTCTTTTTTTTACTTTTTATTTCTTTAAGTAATCTCTGCACCCAATGTGGAGCTCTAACTCCTGACCCCGCGATCACGTGCTCCACTGACCGAGCCCTCCGGGCACCCTGACTCGCACTTTCTCAGGCTGCCCAACTATGCGCACATGCCTTTGCCCTCTGGCCACTCCGCCCACTCTGCCTGCCTCCTGCGGAAAACACCCAGCCTTCCGAGCCCAGCCCCACCTCCTCCATGAAGCCCTCTGTCGCCATTCCGGTCCGGGGTGCTTTTCTCCTCTGGATTTCCATGGTGTTTAGTGTTTGTCCTGGTCACTTGGCACATTGTCACAGACGGCCTGTGTCTGGCCTCCGTTTTTATCTTTTATATTTTTCCATCTTAAGTAATGTTCATGTTTCCTTAGAGGAAAAAATTCTCCTGGATACATGGAGAGTACCTCCAGGAACCCCCGTTTGAAAAACACAGTTTTGTAAACTTTCTTATATTGTTTTTAACACCTGATTATCAATATACTCCATACGTGTGTATCTGACTTTGCCCAGTGGATTGTAAATTATGTGAGAGCAGGAGCTCCTGGGGCCGCCATGGGCCAGTAAGTACCCGCAGAGCCCGTGTACCTGTGGTGTTGAAGGGAGTCTTCTGTGCGCGGGATGTGGTCGGCTGAGAGAGCGGGCATTACTTTGGCTAGGATGAGAGCTAAAGGCCTGGCGAGAAGAGCAAATGTTGGAAGAGTTGACCTTGTTTCCATTTCTTCTAAGCTGCTATCACCAACTTCAGGATTTTTCTTCACTGAGGTTTTTTGTTTTGTTTTCTTTTGTTTTTACTTTCCCTCCCACAGATTGTGCTTCTTGGTCCGACCCCGCATCAAGAACATGCGATACGTTGCCAGTGAGTATGTCGTGCACCACACGTAACTAAGACCTAGGAAAGAGTGGCCGGGATGAAGGGCCTAGGCCATAAGGACCTTTTAATGAGAAAAGATGGTTCGAATGGGCCACACCACTCGGAAAGGATGTCTGCTTCCTTGCATCTAGTCTAACAGATGGCCCATGGCTTTCTGGGTTGCTTTCCTTCTGTCTGTAGGTCTTGTCAATGCTGACAAATTGGCGGGCCGAACTCGAAAATACAAAGTGATCTTCAGCCCTCAGAAGGTGAGTTTGGGTCCTGGTGGGAGCAGGAGAAGGTAGATCAGGACGGAAGGCTGGGAAGGGGCAGGGGGCCAATAGCTGTGTCTCCCCCAAAGCAAGTTATGTGTGACTGAACAAAATACCTGTCACTGTCTTGTCATTAACGTGGCCCTGGTTGTTTAGCAGAGGCCCTGTTGTCAAACTGCCCCAGTTACAGACTGTGGAGTTGTGAGAGGTGGCCTCTATGTAGACTTCTTCTGAAGCATAACCTGCTGTGTGTCCCTTCTAACTCAGATTTCTGTATAGTAATATGCACTGTGTTCTGGGGTTTCAGTGATTTTTGTCCCTTTATCCCTTTAACAATAAATACGGTAAGTCATTACTCCTCCATGCTCATCCAAGGCATGTGGGCGGCTGCCCCCGGGTTGTAGAACCATACCACTGTACTTTGGAAAGGCCCTTTCTTACACAAGAAAGGAGCCGAGAGACCATTTTACTCCACCCCAGCTTTGAGCCTCTGAGGGAAGTAAAGCCCAGGGTCACACAGTGAGGTAGCCTCGCCAGGCTAGGTCTCTTCCATCTATTTTCGCTCAATAGTTGTAGTGTTCGGTGCTCACAGCATGTCCGTTCCCGGATTCCATCAGGCTCTGCTCTCACCCCCATGTCAGCAAGGTGCGTGGTCTTATGTACACGGCCTGCCCGAGGCCTAGGAAGCTGTACCAAGGAGTGCACACCGCATGGAGCGGTTGAAAGGATAGGGATTTATTCTTTTTCAATCCTTCCCAAAAAAACTCTGGAGAAAGTAGAAGCAGTAGCTCAGTCTGAGACTCTGAAGCCAGACTGGGTGTAAATCCTTGCTTTAGCACTTGTTACCTGTGTGATCTTGGATGGGTTACTTAACTGCTCTCTCGGTGTCTCAGTTTTCTCATCTATAAAATGGAGTTGACAGTAGTACTTACCTTTTATTTTTTTTTAAACAAAACAGGGCTGAACATTTTTTTTAATTTTTAATTTTTTGTTTTAATTCCAGTATAGTTAACCTACCGTGTTATATTAGTTTCAGGTGCATGATGTCGGGATTCAACAATTCTGTGTATTACTCAGTGCTCATCACGATAAGTGCAGTCTTGATCCCCTTCACCCATTCCTCCCATCCCCTCACTCACCTCCCCTCTGGTGACCATCAGTTTGTTCTCTCTCGTGAAGAGTCTGATTTTTGTTTTGCCTCTTTTTTTCTTTGTACGTTTGTTTTGTTTCTTAAATTTCACATATGAATGAGATCATATGATATTTGTCTTTCTCTGACTTATTTCACTTAGCGTAATACTCACTAGCTCCATCCATGTTGTTGCAAATGGCAAGTACTTACCCCTTTTAATTTAAGTGACTCAGTTTTTATTAGGAAATCTAGTGAAATTACAGGCTTATATTGTTTTCTCATCACATGAAAGGAATAAGAAGAGCTAATGATCTTGCTTTGAAGATCATTTGAAGATTCATAGAAAATCTTATGGCTATTTTTCCTGTTGAGAAATACAAGTATATCAAGTATAACATCATTACCAGGGCAAGAAATTATTAAGATAACCGGTCGGACATACAGGTTACTTTTAAATGTTATTGGGTGCCTGGGTGGCTCAGTTGGTTGAGCGACTGCCTTCGGCTCAGGTCATGATCCTGGAGTCCCTGGATCGAGTCCCGCATCGGGCTCCCTGCTCGGCAGGGAGTCTGCTCCTCCCTCTGACCCTCCCCCCTCTCATGTGCTCTCTCTCATTCTCTCTCTCTCAAATAAATAAATAGAATCTTTAAAAAAAAAAAAAGCACTCATATTAAATGTTATTAACGAGCTGTGGCAATAAATTCTAGCTTTTGGAGTCTTATAAAACCCCCTTTTTTTTTTTTAAAGATTTCATTTATTTATTTGAGAGAGAGAATGAGATAGAGAGAGCATGAGAGGGGGGAGGGCCAAAGGGAGAAGCAGACTCCCTGCTGAGCAGGGAGCCCGATGCGGGACTCGATCCCAGGACTCCAGGATCATGACCCGAGCCAAAGGCAGTCGCTCAACCAACTGAGCCACCCAGGTGCCCATAAAACCCCTTTTTTCAAATTATACTTCCAAGGAGAGATTTGTTTAAACAGGGAATAGAACAAGTTGGTAACAGTTTCAGATAATCCTACAAGCCTCCATGTTACACAGAAAAACAAAATTGATACTTCGATGAATTTTCTCCATCTCACATCATATCTCATTAGATTCTTTGACCTAATTTTATATTGCAGGACAGTCTCTCCCTCAGTAGCTGTAGGGAAGAGGGAATCTCTCTTTCTGAGACTCCTTTTGTTAATTATGAAGATTGGCAGTTTTCGATCTGGGCTCTGGAATTCCATTAGTTAGCACTAAAAGTGGGCCTCCAGTTTCAGGTTCACTGATGGACCTGACTGAGGGACCGGGCGCCCAGCTGGCTCAGTCTGCAGAGCATGTGACTCTTGATCTCAGGGTTGTGAGTGCGAGCCCCACATTGGGCGTGGAGCCTACTTAAAAAAAAAGAAATGAGTTAGGGATGAATAGGATTCTTCTGTGTTAAGTAAAATAAGGAATATGTAGCATGAATCTTCCACATCTCATGGAATCATCATGAGGACAACGAGAGGTAATCCTTATAAAACACTAAGGACCTGGCGCCTGGGTGGCTCAGCTGGTTAAGCGACTGCCTTCGGCTCAGGTCATGATCCTGGAGTCCCGGGATCGAGTCCCACATTGGGCTCCCTGCTCAGCAGGGAGTCTGCTTCTCCCTCTGACCCAGCCCCCTCTCATGTGCTCTCTCTCTCTCTCATTCTCTCTCTCTCTCAAACAAACAAACAAACAAATAAATAAATAAAATCTTTAAAAAAAAAACCACTAAGGACGATGCCTAGCACATGTGAAATATTTAATGCACACTCAACTCTTACCATCATCATCATTATCAGACGGGAGTGCTCCTCCTTCCTTCCTCATTGCCTCCAAGTATTTCGCCTTCTTCCCATTTGTCTCAAAGGAGGGAGTGACCCTGGCCTCGTCCCCTCCCTGATCCGCCGCTTCATCTGTGTTCCTGGGCCCATGCCCGCGTTCCTTTTCTACTGTCTTACTTTGTCGGGTAGATTCTTTCTCTTTTGTCTTCAACCATGTCTATTCCCCCCCTTTTTTTTTTTTAAAGATTTTATTTATTTATTTGAGAGAGTGAGCAGGAGAGAGAGAGAGAGCACACAAGCAGGGGGGAAGGGTAGAGAGAGAAGCAGACTCCGTGTGGAGTGGGGAGCCCGATGTGGGACTCGATCCCAGCACCCTGAGATCATGACCTGAGCCGAAGGCAGACGCTCAACCAGTTGAGCCACCCGGGCGCCCCATGTCTACCCCTTCTTAGTAATTCTCCCTGCTTCATGTCTTCTCCTGTCAGGGGCTCTCCCTTCTGTTGTGTGGAGACTTGGGTCAACAGTTCTCTCCGCCACTGCTCCTGTGTCCTCACCCCCGCCTTCGTCTTTAATTCGAGTCCCCCGCCAGGACTCTGTCGTCAAACTCGGCGATGCCTGGTTCCCACTTGACCTACCTAATGTCCTTGCATTTGACACAGTTGCCCATTCCTCCTGAGACTCACCTTTGCTGCCTTTAGAGGTGCCGAGTCCCCCTTTCCCACCTCCATGTCATCTGTCCGTCTTCTCCTCCAAGCGTTGTCCTGTGCGCCCTTTTAATTGCGGTGTCCCCTACAGTCCTGTCCTTAGTGGTCATGTCCCTCTGTGTTCTTTTCTCTTGGACAAACCACCCACTTTAAATGTCCTGTGCCAGGGACCCCAGGCTGGGTCTCCAGACCTCTCTCAGTGACTCCAGGCGTCCCCTAGACATGTCCTACCCCGACCCCCCCCCCCCACCGCTGCTCCTTCCCTGCTGCCTGCCTCGCTTCCCCCGTTTCTGAGGTGCGCTTGTGCCCTCCCTCCCATGTCTGTCTGCGGGGTGCACCCTTTGCGGATGCTTTGCTGATCCTTTGTGGAGCTTTCCAGCCTCGCAGGGAGAAAAGAGCATTGGACTTAATACCTAAATAAAGCGGATAAAGGGAAACAAAGTGCTGGGCTAGATGGTCCCAGTGGTCCTTCCTGTTGTCCTAAAGAGTCCACGCTCTCTTGTCGTTGTCACTGGGTTCAGTAGGTATTGTCCTCAGCAGTGACTGCGGAGGAACTCCAGAGAGATGCAAAGAACAGAGAAGAAGGTGGTCAGCAACCACTCCCTCTTCTTGTCTTTCAGTTTCATGCGTGTGAGATGGTGCTGGAGGAAGAGGGAGTCTATGGAGGTGAGAGGAGGCGGCAGTGAGTGGGGAGGGGAGAATATGCGGAAGAAGGGAAGGAAATAAGCTGGGGCCCTCCTCTCTGCTTGTTGGCCTGGGGGGAGGGGAGGTTCCTGACCACGAGGAGCGGGACAGGGCCTTGATGGGAAGGCTGAAGGGGGTGCCAGGTGCTGCCATTCCTCCCTTTCCAAGACTCCCACAAGGAAAAAGTGTGCCTTCCCTCCCTCCATTCTGCATGCAGCGCTGACCTGAGCACCGTGCTCCCTGCTGGAGATCCCGCCCTGGTGCCAGAATCTTCGGTGGCCTTCTGCAGTTGGCCCTTTCCTGGCCCCTCACCCTCACCATGTGCAGCTCCCTCCTTCTCCTGACTCTCCACCTTCCAGCCGTGGGCACTTCCCATTTGCTTTTCCTGTGGCCTAGAATATTCTCCACCCTCAGCCTTTTTTTTTCATACCCAAATCTTACTCAAATTCTAAGCGTCAGTGTCACTTCTTTAGGGAAGTCTTTCCTATGCTCCTGTACTTCTCCTATGCCCCACGTAGTTGAGGTTCGATCCCTGCAATATTTGGGCTCCCAAACTGCTGTTCTTCTCTGGAGCACAACTGTAATGAGATGTGTCTGGTGTGTTTCTCACTGGATTGGGATTCTCTCGCAGAAAATGGGGAAGCATGTTTGTTCCATTTCCGCACCCCCAGTGCCCGGCCTAGTGCCCACACAGACGTGGCTTTCTGTCAGTATTTGTCCACCAGCGAATGAGTGTTTCCTCGGCACTTCCAGTCGGCACTCGAATGAAAACACGCCCCTCTCACGTTGTATGATAGGCTGTGGTGTGCATTTCTCTTCTTGTTTTCCGACCACGAACTCCTTTAAGGCACAGACTGTCACTCATCTTTGAGTGTCCCGTGCTTAGTGTAGGGCTGGGCATGTGGCAGGCGCTCAGATATTTCTGCGTCACCGTGGTGGACCTTCTCTCTCAATATGGAGCCCTGTACCTTCTGTGGGGAGGCTGATGCTCTCTGTACCCACAGATGTGAGCTGTGACGAATGGGCCTTTTCTTTGCTGCCTCTTGATGTGGATCTGTTGAGCATGGAGCTCCCAGAATTTTTCAGGGACTACTTCCTGGTAAGTGCAGGGTCCTTGGGTCTTGGTGGGGACACACACGGGGTCCTGTGGGCTAGAAACGTGGACGTAACCTTCCTGTAATTCCTATAATTTATTATGAGGAAGAGCGTTTTGCAGACTGAATGGCTGATGTCCACAGGACTTCCTTTGGGGCCAGAATGAGAGCGGTCGGACAGTCCCCACACATACCCGGCCTTCCTGCTCCCGGGCTGCTAGGGCTAGCCCCTTTCCAGATTGCTCTCTTGGGCTGAGCCATATCTCTGTGGCCCGTATGGTTCCTGCAGGAAGGAGATCAGCGCTGGATCAACACTGCGGTACAGGCCTTGCACCTTCTGAGCACTCTCTACGGGCCCTTTCCTAACTGCTATGGAATTGGCAGATGCACCAAGGTGGGCAGGAGCAGCTCTGTGGTCCCGATGGCCCCTCTTGTACCCGTTCTCTGCCCACCATGGAGTGCCCAGAGGCATCTGTGATAAGAGCCATGTTCTTCAGCTTGCTTTTATTGTTCTAGAAGAGTTCCTCAGAGAGGAGGAGGACTTGTGTGACTGACAGAAAAGCAAGAGCCAGGGCCTCTGGATAGCACTCCTGAGTCTTTTCTTCGGGGGCGGAGATAGTCCTTCATCAGCAGGGGGAAGGCTGGGAGGGGTGGGCACAGACGGGAGTGCAGTGGGTAGTGGTGTTAATAATTAGCTCCCCTCTTGGGGTCAAGGAGAGGTGTCACATGGAAAAGACTTGGCTTCAGTAAGGTGTGGGCTGCAGCAGGGACCTGGACATGAGACTGAGAATATCTTGGTTCCTGGCAGATGTCATATGAATTGTGGAGAAAATTGGAGGAGGAGGAAGATGGCGAAACCAAGGGCCGAAGGCCGGAGATTGGCCATATCTTCCTCCTGGACAGAGGTAAATGATGCTCAGCATTCCTGTCATCTCTGGACCCTCGAAGACATGGGGATCCGGCCAACACGGTGGCCCAGTTAGGATCCTCAGGTCGGGGCTGTGAATGGCAGCGTTGATCGGGAGCCCAGCACTTGGGCCCCGTGAGCTGACGCCGAGCCAGCTGGGTAGCCGCGTAGGTCAGGGAGGACCCTCACGGCCGGGGATCTCGGTTTCAGACGTGGACTTCGTGACGGCCCTTTGCTCCCAGGTGGTTTACGAGGGTCTGGTGGACGACACCTTCCGCATCAAGTGTGGTAAGTGGCATCTTGGCGAGATGGACGGGTTCCTCAGCACCCGGGGCCTCTCGCAGGGGGCGGGGCTTGTGGGAGAGCCTCAGACTCTGAACAGACTGCTGGCTTCCAGATAGTTCGGGGCACTTTGAGTGGCAGTTCAGGAAAGGGGAGGAGAGGGAAGGCCTCACTGGAGGTCCTCAGAGCTACTCCCTCTGCTCTCAAAGGGAGTGTCGACTTTGGCCCAGAAGTCACATCCTCTGACAGGAGCTTAAAGGTTCTACTCAATGCTGAGGACAAGGTGAGGGTACGGCTATTGCTGGTGGATGGCCCGGGGGCCACTGTTGGCCCGAGGCTGTGGGCCCGGCTCTGGGAGGGGAGGCTGAGCCTGTGGGAGAGGGATCCCCCTCCAGGAGTGAGCGTACCCCGGAGCACAATATCTGGGTGTTTAACATACACTTGTGATACCAGCTCAGCTTTCTGTGTGCTTTTGCTAGAACAGCTGGGCACCGCTCTTGTGCTCCTGTCCCACTACTGAGGGCGGAGGGACTAGTCAGGGTTCTCTGGTCAGTTGTTGCTGCTTGTTGCCCTTGCAGGTGTTTAATGAGATTCGTAATGAGCACTTCTCCAACGTCTTCGGCTTTTTGAGCCAGAAGGCCCGGAACTTGCAAGCTCAGTATGACGTGAGGCTCCAGGCCCGGGCTCCTCTGTTTCGTTTCCCCTCTGTTGGCTTCCCTTTGGCTCCCTTCTGATATGATGACAGCCCCCCCGTCTTTTCTCTTGGAATCGGGGGGACCTGAGGGAGGGTGGTGGCTGCGCATGTCTGAGGGCAGGGAGCGGTTGACCTCATGGGGACTTCCCCCAGCGCCGGAGAGGCATGGACATCAAGCAGATGAAGAACTTCGTGTCCCAGGAGCTCAAAGGACTGAAACAGGAGCACCGCCTGCTGAGTGTCCGTAGGTTTCAGCTTTCAGCTTGAGGGCAGGGCAAGGGGATGCTACAGAGGAGATCTGCCCCGGGGGAGATCTTTGTTCACCAGCAAATAATGATCTTGTTTTGTCCGAAATGGGAAGAAGCACTTCTGCATTTTGCCTTAAGAACTTTTTATTCTTGGGGCACCTGGGTGGCTCAGTCGGTTAAGCCTCTGCCTTCAGCTCAGGTCCTGATCCCAGGGTCCTGGGATCGAGTCCCGCGTGGGGCTCCCTGCTCAGCGGGGAGTCTGCTTCTCCCTTTCCCTCTCTCTCTGCCCCTCCCCCAACTTGTGTTCGCTCTCTCTCTCCCTCTTTCAAATCTTAAAAAAAAAAAAGTTTTTATTCTTCTGGACAATAAAGGCATATCCTACTAGAACCGGGAATATGTCAGCTTGCTTTTTGTCCTGTCTGCAGATATCGGGGCCTGTGAATCCATCATGAAGAAGAAGACCAAGCAGGACTTCCAGGAGCTCATCAAGACTGAGCATGGTAGCTGTGGGGGCCGTGCTTGGCTCCCTCCTGTGCTTCCCTTGCTCCCAGCACCGTCCCACCCAGCAAAGATGCTCTCTGGCTCCTTCCAGCTGATGCTGGCTGGGTGGAATGCTGGTTCCTGCTAGAAGTCCCGGGGGTCCCTTAGCCCCCCACCCCCAAGCATGGAGAAAGATGGGGAGACAGACACCTGTTAGCATAGATGGCCAGAGCTGAGCTGCTCCCCCCCGTAACGGGCTCTCCTCTTGTGTTCTCACAGCACTGCTGGAGGGCTTCAACATCCGGGAGAGCACCAGCTACATCGAAGAACACATAGACCGGCAGGTGAGCAGGTGGCCGGGGCTGTTGGGAGCCATGTGTCGCGGCGGGCGTGGTCTCCAGCGGAAGGAAGAGGAAAGAGCGTGTGTCGTGGAACTTGAATTCTCTAGGACTCTCTTCCCATGCAGGTGTCGCCTATAGAAAGCCTCCGCCTCATGTGCCTTTTGTCCCTCACTGAGAATGGTGAGCCCCTGGAACCAAAGACACCAGACTGAAAAACTGTACCTTAGGCATAGAAGAAATCATTTTGAATGACAGAGAGAATAGCCTAGCCGACAGAACGTTTCCCAGTAATTCCGTGGATTCTTTTCCCTGTAAGCTAAAGCAGTCTTTGTTCCGCGTGAGACATCCCAAGGGCCTGGGGTCACTTAGTGTCCCGACCCTGAGCGGGACCACACTCAGCCCCCAGCCCCCCCCGCCCCCGCCCCGAACAAGCTCTGTCACATCTTAGGACCACAAGGGCACAGCGCAGAGTGGCATTTCTCTCTCTATTCCATCTGGCCACCTACCTTCCACGAGCTTTCATAATAAAGAGTCCAGGAAAAGGGGACAGCCAAACGATTTCATAAACATTCCCAAGAGCTCAGATTCTGCGACCTCCTGTGGTACAACTTTTAACTTGGTTATGCAACCCTTTCATCTGTTTTTTTTTTTATTTTAGTTGGAAGTAGAGGTGACACACGATGGGACATTATTAGTTGCAGGTGTACGGACAGGGATGGGACAAGTGTGTGCGTTGTCCCGGGCTCCCTGCGAATGCAGCGAGTACAGAACCATCGGCCCTACTCCCTGTACCCGTTCGTCCCCGTGACTTGCTCACCCCGTGACTTGCAAGCGCACTCTTTGTACCTCGCTGGAGGAAAGCGCCTCAGACCACACTTTTCGACCTCCTCTGAACACTTGCCCCGTTCCTCGGTAGCCCGTAAAGCAGTACTCAGGGGCACTGGCCCCAAGCCAGGAAGGAACGTGCCCAAGTCCCTTTGCCTCCCTCCTACCGCCTCCCTCCGCCATCCCTGCCGATAAGCAAGCTGAAATTTAGGAGTCAGTTTAGAATCAGCTGGCTGGATGCAAGGTTAACATTTACTGATTCCTTCCTCCTGATAAAGGTTGTTTGGGGAGCAAGAGGGTGTGTGGGTGGGTTGGTATGGCTGTAGATTTCAGGACACCTCAGCTGGTGTTCACGTGAACCTGTCTTATCTTCCTGACCCTCAGGTTTGATTCCCAAGGATTACCGATCTCTGAAAACACAGTATCTGCAGGTAAGGCCGTGACAATGCATTCTGGAGGGAACTGGGTGGAGGGAGGTCATTGGCACTTCTGAAAGAGGCAGAAGAAATGGCCTCTTTCCTGTCTGCATCCCCATTTTGCTCCCAATCTGGCCTCCCTCTTAGGGCATCTCGGGACAGTCCGCCTCTCAGCACGCAGAGACCCTCCCCCTGCCCGTCTCCCCTATTCCCTGCTCTCTTGGCGGGCGGCTGGTGCTGGGAGTGCTGGGGCCATTGAGCTGTCGGACCAGGTGGTGAGTCCTCACCCCTGGGGCTCTCCCTCACTTTAGCATCTTGTGAGGGGTTGATACGGCCTTCCTTCCAGGTCTTTCTCTAGTCTTACCTCATCTCTGAAGCCCTCCCCAGCACCCTCCCATCAATGGCTTTCTCTCTTCTCTCATAATTTCATGCTTTCCTTTTTTTTCCTCCTTCGTTTGGTGTTTGGTTATTTCTTTAGGGCACAGAATGCATAGCCCTTCTGTCCCTCACCTCCGTATCACCTGACAGTGTTAGACCTTGGTGTGGCGGATGCTCAGTAAATGACTGAATTGCATTTCCTTCAGAGCTACGGCCCTGAGCACTTGCTGACCTTCTCCAATCTGCGGCGAGCGGGGCTCCTCACGGAGCAGGCCCCGGGGGACACCCTCACAGCTGTGGAGAGTAAAGTGAGCAAGCTGGTGACAGACAAGGCCGCAGGTGAGCAGGGAGAGCAGGGAACCCCTTCCCTGGCCAGAGTCCTCTCTCCTCGCAGCAGCCAGAGCTCCCTGGGAGGGACGGAACGAGCTGGGGAAGGAGGATGTGATCCTTCACTCTTCCTGGCATTACTACTGCGTCTGCTAGCAGGGGCACGTTCCCTTTACTGAACACTTACCATGTGCTGAGACCTGTAGATACCAGTTTCTCACTTAATCCTCACAAACGTAAGCTTATAACCTCCATTTTCTAGAGAAGGAAACAGGCTGAGTGAGGTTAAGTGACTTGTTTAAGGTCCCTCAGTGAGTAAGTCAGATTTGAGCCCAGGTCGGTTGACTCTGAGGCCCACACACTTCACCAGTGAGCTCGGGTCACTCTGTAGATTGCACTGAGTGGATGGCCGGTACCCTGTAGGAAGACTGTGGTGGGGCGAAGGGTGGCAAGTGTCTTGATCAGTTCCAGGGAATCTTAGGGGAACGGCTTTGAGGAGAGCCTTGAGCCAGGAACGGTCCTGCTACTTGCAAGGTCCTGCTATTTGTCATTTCCTGAGTGGTATCACCTGGGGCAGGGTCACAAATCCGTCGATCTTCGATGAGATCCAGCACAGTTTTCCTTCCCAGGAAAGATTACTGATGCCTTCAGTTCTCTGGCCAAGAGGAGCAATTTCCGTGCCATCAGCAAGAAGCTGAATTTGGTATGTAGATTCAGGGTGGATGGGGAAGCCATGGGTCCAGTCCTTTGCAGAGTACTTTGAATCCCCAACATCTCTTTGTTGTTTTGTTTTTATAAAGATCCTTTCATTTGGTAGCATCATAGCATGAGCTTAATTTAATAATGAGACAAGACACAAAAGACGCATTCACTTAATAAACCTGTAAGAAGCACCCACCAAGGCCAGAGGATAGGCTGAGTGCCACATCAGTGACAGACATGTCCCCTGTCACCAGGGGATCGGCAGCGGGGCATCTTTAATTTCCAGCCCTTCATAGGGAGCACAGGGGAACTCGTTCAGGAGAATCAGTGGGTACTGAACGAAAGCTTCAATCTTTGGTTATGGTTTTTTGTTTTTTGGTTTTTTTTCAGGGCTTTTGCCAGTCTTCCCTTTAGCTGAAATAAGACCTGTTTGGGGGGATGTACTTTTCTCTGACTGGGTAAAAGGCTGGGGAGGTGAGTTGTCACGTGCCTCACGTAGTCCCCTTTGCCCTTTAGATCCCACGTGTGGATGGCGAGTATGATCTGAAAGTGCCACGGGACATGGCGTATGTCTTCAGTGGCGCTTACGTGCCCCTGAGCTGCCGACTCATCGAGCAGGTGAGAATAAGCGACCCGCTGCCGTTCCTATTTCACTCTCTGCTTTCTCTTGGTCCCTGGCCTATTCCAACTTTCAGCCACCCCCGTAACTAACAAGAGACGTGACAGTCTGGCTGCTGTGACCTCCCCTTCCTCAGCCGGATAGGGTCTCAGACTTGAACCCCGGGCCTCCCAGGTGCTGGAACGACGAAGCTGGCAGGGTCTGGACGAAGTGGTGCGGCTACTCAACTGCAGTGAGTTGGCCTTCACAGGTGCGTGGCTGGCCCTGCGGTCAGGGTGGGGCGGGAGGGGGGCTGGGGGCGCCACGGGAGATCGGAGTCTGGCCTGATCTCCGCAGACATGACCAAGGAGGACAAGGCTTCCAGCGAGTCGTTGCGCCTCATCCTGGTGGTGTTCTTGGGTGGTTGCACGTTCTCGGAGATCTCAGCCCTCCGGTTCCTGGGCAGAGAGAAAGGTAAGAGAGAACAGAAAGAGGGACCTGGGGGACACAGGGCAGTGCTCAGAAGGCTTCCTGGCGGGCCTCTGGGCACCCCTTGCTGTAGTCCGGCTGCGGGTTCAAGTGCAGGGAGCCCAGTTCCACCACGCGCAGCAAGTCGTCGTGCCCAGGAGGGTGGCACTGACACGTCTGTGTCTGTAACCTGCTGCTCTGGTCCAGTCAGGGCTGTGGAACTGGAGGGCTGGCCAGGGCTCATCATGGGGGCCTCTGATCTGCTCTTAGTCACGTGTGCGGGTGCTTTTGACTCCATAGGGTACAGGTTCATTTTTCTAACAACGGCGGTCACGAACAGCGCTCGCCTTATGGAAGCCATGAGTGAGGTAAAAGCCTGACGTTCTCTCTGCTGGTGTTGACGTCTTCCCTGAACACGTTTCCCTACGGGATGCCCGAATTTGGTCCCAGCTGCTAACCAAGTGTCTACCAACTACCCTACTAAGAGCCGGGGAGCTCAGAACTGACTCGGGATTTAGAGAAATTATCTGAGGAGAGCGCTCACTTCCGGCCCCCAGGATATGTCTCCGTTTTGTGTATGAAGTACAGCTTGTGCTGAAAAGATACGAGGAGGAAGAGATCTCGTTTACTAAGTCCTGATTGAGTATCATTGTAAATAAAGCCTCTACTCTCCAATGTCATGTTTAGTTCTCAACACGCACTTCTGTCTTCTTTTTTTTTTTTTTTTTAAAGATTTTATTTTTTTATTCATGAGAGACAGAGAGACAGAGAGAGAGAGAGAGAGAGGCAGAGGGAGAAACAGGCTCCCAAGGAGCAGGGAGCCCGATGTGGGACTCGATCCCAGCACCCTGGGATCATGACCTGAGCCGAAGGCAGACGCTTAACCATCTGAGCCACCCAGGCGCCCTACGCACTTGTCTTCTTAGCGAAGCACAGGGGGGCTTCATGGGTTCTGTGGTCTGGACTCTGCAGTAGCTCTGGGCCTGGTCGGCTTCTCTCCTGAAACTTGCCCTGTACCAGAGTTTCCTCAACTGTAAAATGAGGGGGATCGATCAGATAGATGATCAGTAAGCACCCTTCCAGTTCTAAAATTCTGCGGTTCATTATACTTTATTTTTGTAAGTAAACCTTTGCCCAATGTGGGGCTCGAACTCATGACCCTGACGTCAGGGGTCATACGCTCTACCAACTGAGGCAGCCAGGTAGAGCTTATATTTTAGAAAAGATGAGTTTGTTACTGTTTTAACTTCAGGAGGCACTTCAGTATTAAGCATTTGTCTCTTATTGCAGAATGAAGGATTGTGTCCCATTAGAGCAGGCTCAGGCATCAGCAAACAGTGCTCCTAAAAAGGTCACCAGTGCCCCTCCTCAACTGCTGATTTTAGTGGCCTTTCTCTCCCTTGACCTTTTAAAAATTGTGAACTGTAACCACATCCATCAGTCTCTTTTTGGTCCTCCTCTAACTTGACCTCCCTGATAACCACTTTTCCTTTCTTCTGTTCAGCTTCCGTGACACTCTTGTTGTCCTCCTGTGGTTTCCTGGGTTGTGCTTCTGTCTCCTTGGATTACTTGTCTCTGCCTATCCCCTCTCTGTCTAGATGTCAAGCTTTCATCTTCCAGATGTCAAGCTTTCATCTTCCTGCTGAGCTTCACTAGTATTTCCAACTTGGTCGTTCCACAGGCCCTTCAAACTCAGCGTGTCTAAAAAACTCTCAAACTGAGTCTCTTGTCCTCACTTTGAATCCCCCAATCTGCTCCTCTTCTTGTATTCCTGTAATTGACATCATCATCTACCCAAGTTTTGTTCATGAAAGAAATTCTAACCTTGACCTCAGATGTTTTATTTTATGTGTGTTGCCTTTTTTTTTTTTTTTAAAGATTTATTTATTTGAGAATGAGAGAGAGAGAGCATGAGGGGGGGGAGGGTCAGAGGGAGAAACTGAGGGAGGGTCAGAGGGAGAAGCTGAGCAGGGAGCCCGATGCAGGACTTGATCCTGGGACTCTAGGATCATGACCTGAGCCGAAGGCAGTTGCTTAACCGACTGAGCCACCCAGAGCTTCTTAACCGACTGATGTGCCCTCAGATGTTTTCTTTTATCCCCCACATTCAGCTGGTCCCACTACCCATTATTTCTAAATGCTTCTGGCTCATCCTGTCCTCACCATCCCCATGTCAGAGATCCTTAATATTTTTTGCCTGGGCTTTTGCAAGACTGTCCCTCCCAGTCCCTCGGCTTCCTATCTGCCACTTACTAAAAGAAAGATCCAAATCTGTGTTGTTGGATCATCAAAACTATTCTTTCTGTAAGGAGTGCTGTGTCAGTGCATATTCCAAGGAAAATGCTTACTTCAGGTATCCAGCTAGAATTTTTACTATTTTTATGTCAAGCTATTGTGTAAGATCAAAGACACTGCTGAGAGGGCTGTTAGTCTGTATAAAGAATATGTTGCAGTCAGACGACGATCCTGTGACCAAGAAAATAGACCCTGGCAGCGCACTTGCATTCTAGAACAATGCTGTCCGATCCTGTAACAGGGTCCTGCTCAAACACACATCACAGTGTTTTACATGCTGAGTACATGCTCTGAGTGGATATCTTCCAATGGTTCTGTGACTTCGTTGGCTTCAGAACTACAGTGCGAAGACATGATAGCAAAATTATCTTATCTCTGGGTACTTAGGATGCTGGCCCTGGGAACATGCTTGAAGATGGCAAGTTTTTGAAGCTTTCTGAATAACTTTCAAGTTAACCAACAAAGTGCAAGTAAATTTAAAAGGTGGTGTCTACGGCTCACTCCATCAGCCATCGGAATGTTTGGTGTGCTGCTGATGAGTTAAAGGATGTTGAAAGCTCCAGTGAAGGGGCGCCTGGGGGGCTCAGTCGTTAAGCGGCTGCCTTCGGCTCAGGTCATGATCCCAGGGTCCTGGGATCGAGCCCCGCGTGGGGCTCCCTGCTCCGCGGGAAGCCTGCTTCTCCCTCTCCCACTCCCCCTGCTTGTGTTCCCTCTCTCGCTGTGTCTCTCTCTGTCAAATAAATAAAGAAAAAAGGTTTAAAAAAAAAAGGTTTAAAAGAAAAAAAAAAAAGCTCCAGTTAAGTCCTTCCGAAAGAGAGAAACATGGTCCTGCAGGTGAAGCAAACAAGCATCCTTTACTTTTCCTTCATGGAAAAGGCAAATGAAAAGGAGTCACAGAAGTCACAGATGGCCAATACACTGAGGGAAAATGTGCAATTTCAGCTATAATCCAGCAAGTGCAAATCAAACAAGGGAATGACACTTTCTGCCTGTGAAACTAGCAGAGATTTAAAAGGACAGTAATACTCAGAGCTCTTGAGGGTGAGAGGCTTCCATAGTTGGGAAGGGCAAATTAATTCAGTAGCTACTCTTCTAGGAATCAAATGTAAGAAAATAATGCAAGATGCGATTTATGTCTGAAGACATTTATTTGTAAAAATTACAGTCTAAATATCCATTGATGGGGTGCCTGGAAGGCTCAGTCGGTTAAGAGTCTGCTTTCGGCTCAGGTCATGATCCCAAGGTCCTGGGATCGAGTTCTGCATCAGGCTGCTTGCTCAGCCTCTGCCCCCGGCTTGTGCTCTCTCTCACTCACTCTCTTTCTCTCAAAATAAATAAAATCTTTTTTTTTTTTTTAAGAATTTCTTTCTTTATTTGACACAGAGAGAGAGCACAAGTTGGCAGACAGGCAGGCAGGCTGAGGGAGAGGGAGAAGCAGGCTCCCGATGATGCGGGTGCTCGATTCCAGGCCGCTGGGATCATGACCTGAGCGGAAAGCAGACCCTTAACTGACTGAGCCACCCAGGCGCCCCAAAATAAATAAAATCTTAAAAAAAAAAAAAAACACACGGATAGCAAAACAATTGAATTACGAAGTACCTCCAGCCACAACATCATGCAACTGAATCACTGGAAAACAAAGCTATATGTAAGCATTTAGGGATGTAGCATATATTCAGCGAAAAAAGGATACAAAAGTGCTTTGATGTCGATTTTGAGTTTTAAAGTTTTCGTATAACTATATAAACCCCTGTAATTTGAAAGAACCATGCCCAGGTGCTCTCCATTTGTGTGCCAATCATGTGACCTGGGTTAAGTCCCTCAAGCCGTTCAGAGCCGGTTCTCTCCTGCGTAAAATGGCGATAATGCCAAACGGGGCTGTCCTGGAGATTAAATGGGATCGCTGTCTAGAAAGGTGCCGGGCCCGTGAGCAGGGACGCAGCCTTCCTTCCCTTGCCCCCGAGGGCACGACTTCCCGCACGTGGGGAAGGCTGCCACCAGAGATCAGCTCCAGGCTCGCCATCTGCCTGCGCGGGGGAAACGAGTTACAGCGTCAGGCTTTCCTGCTGAGCCCGCTCCCGCCCAGCCCGCTGGCTGCGGTTCTCGCCCCTTCCCGGCGGCCTCCCGGCGGCGGCCAGGGCTTCGAATCCAAACAGTGCCGGGACGGGGTGTGGCCCGCACGCCGCAGCTGGCGCGGGGCGGGGCGACGCGGGGCGGGGCGACGCGGGGCGGGGCGACGCGGCCCTCCAGGCTCCGGCGAGACCCGGCGCCGGCGCAGACAGCGACCCCACCGCCAGTCCGAGAGCGAGCGTTTCCCACGCTCAGCGCGCGAGCCCTCACCCGTCACCCCGGCGCGCCGGGACCCAGTGCGCGCTCGCGGCTCGCCGCCAGGGGGCGGGGCTTGGCGAGGAGCGACGGGTCAGGGCGCCAATCGCGGGGTTGCTCCGCCTTCGGGCTCGGTTTGAAATTCCGCGGCGACCTAACGGCTCCCGGAGCCGCGGCTTGAAGCAAGACAGCCGGTGCTTGTGGGAGGTTGCTGCGCCCAGCCCCGCGTGGAGGAGGTCTGGGGCCTCGACGGCCGGCTGCTTGGAGCGTCCGCCATGAGGAGAAGGTGCGGGCCGCGGGAGAGTCGAGGGGACGCGGGAGGGAGCGACCCCCGTCCCGGGTGCGGGGCCCCCGAGGCGGCCCGGGGCGCGGGTGGTACGTCAGCCCGCGCCGAGTGAGGCCCGGGCGCCGCCGGCAGGTTTGGGGAGCGCCGAGCTGGCGCCCGGGCCGAGCGCCCGGTGCGGCGGAGGCAAGGCCTGCCGCGCACCGGCCCCGGCGGCCGCGGGCTCCCGAGGCCCCGACGCGCCGCGGTGTCCGCGAGCCCCGCCCGCCTCTCAGGTGCTGCCTCTTGGCACCTGCGGCCTGTTCTAAGTCCTGCGTCTGTTGTGGTCCGGCTTCTCGCTTCCGTTTAAATAAGGCGGTCAACTGTTGCGCTTATCCGGGTCCTCCGCGGGGTCGGGCTGCAGTGCTAACGTTCTGCCTGACTCGGACAGATAGCCGGCTTTCCCTGCAAGTTCAGGAGCTCCAGTAAGGAGTTCCTCTCCGGTGGTTTCCACGACTCCCCCGGCCGTGCTGGGGAAGGGGCGGCCGGCTTGAAGTAGGGGCCAGACTCGCCCCACCGAATGTCAGTTGTCTCTCAGCCCCCTCGTCCCCTCGATGTTCCCTCCATAGCACATACTGCCATTTAGTGGAAGGTTTGCTTATTTATCACCTTTCTTTTGCTCTCAGAAGGTCCACTCCAAAAGGGCAGCGATGTCAGTTTTGTTCTAAAATAAGGATAGGGGCGCCTGGGTGGCTCAGTTGTTAAGCGTCTGCCTTCGGCTCAGGTCATGGTCCCAGGGTCCTGGGATCGAGTCCCACATCGGGCTCCCTGCTCAGCGGGAAGCCTGCTTCTCCCTCTCCCGCTCCCCCTGCTTGTGTTCCTGCTCTTGCTATCTCTCTGTCAAATAAATAAAACCTTTTAAAATAAAAAAATAAATAAAATAAGGATAATACCAGGGCGTAGGGCTCTTGTGTTAGAATGTCTTGTGATAAAAACGTTAACCCTACTTTCTGAAAGGGGTGGGTGAGGCACTGTGATGATTCATTATTAGTTTGTAGTTATTGGTCAGATTGATTGCTCTATGGCTGTAGAAAGTTCTTCCATAAGTACTAATTCCCGTCCTTCTTTTTCAAGTGCTTGCCTTCCAGAGAATGGGAATTGAGTACAAACTATGGTACCATTGGAAAAAACAGCCAGGGTTTTAAAAATACAATAAAGCTGTTATTTTTTTAAAATATGGCACATAATCTGCAGTGTTTTTTTGGTTTGTGACTTAATTGAAAAAGTTAGCTATGTTTACTAATTTAGCCAAATTGCTTTTACAGAATTAAATGACATGAGATTTGTAGCTGTCAGAGCCAGTTAAAACCAAAACAAATGTCTGTACAGCAAATGGACAGCTAGCCTCCAGCTGATAAATGGGCCACTAACTAAAAGCAGTATGCACACTGTTGTTATAACGTAAAAGTTAACCATCTCTTGGATTCCATTACTTGAACAAATCTTACTGGGTCTGTTGCAAAATGGGTGTTTGGAATTACAAATTTTCTAGTTAGAGACCCTTCTCACTCCAGTACTGTTTTCAAAGAATTAAAAAATGTTCCACCCTTCACAGCATTCATACTAATTCTTTTTTTTTTTTTTAATTTTTTTTTTTTTTTAGATTTCATTTATTTGAGAGAGACAGAGATAGTGAGATAGAGAGCACAAGTGGGGAGGAGAGGGAGAAGCAGGCTCCCCGCTGAGCAGGGAGCCCCATGCGGGACTCGATCCCAGGACCCTGGGATCATGACCTGAGCCGAAGGCAGACGCTTAACCGACTGAGCCACCCAGGCGCCCCATACTAATTCTTATATCACCCTGACACCTCTTTCTTTCATTCCTAAGATTAGCCTTAACTTGGAAAAGACAGCCACAGTCTCACTCCTCCCCCAGCTCTGCTGTCACGGCCCTGGTCCAGGTCACTCTCGTTATCTCTTGCTGTGTTCTCCTGGCCTTTTAACTGGTCTCCCTGCATCTGCCTTGGCCTCCTGAAGCTTATTGTCACCACAGGAGCCAAAATCCTCCAATGATTTCATATTTTAGAGTAAAAGCCTCTCTGCCTTTTTACAAAGGCCTCTGGAGTCCTATTGTACTCTACTCCAGTCATACCAAAGTCTTTGCTCTTTCTTGAACCTACCAGGCTCTATCCTACCTCAGACGTTGGCATTTGCTGTTCCCTCTACCTAGATCTCTCTTCCCCAACATGTCCCATGGCTTGATTCCTTACCTCCTTTAGGTCTTTGCTCAAAGGTCACCTCAGGGAGGACTTTCCACCATTTAATGTAAGATTTGCTTATTGATCACTTTTCTTTTACTATTAGAATGTAAACTCCAAAAGGGCAGGGATGGAATTTTGTTCAGTGCTGAATCCCCAACACTTAGAATGCACCTTGTATGTAATAAACATTCAAGTAGTATTTTTGAATGAATAACTCGATGTTTCAAAAAGTTGTATGATCGTAAGATGCCTCAGTGCATTCGCTGTGCATAATAATTCTCTTGGTGCAATTACATACTGCCTGTAAATAGATTCGGGTAATTTCCCTAAAAGTACAAATTTGAGATTTTTATTCTTCTAACACATCACCAAAAAGCTGAGGATACTTAGAAAAATACTTCCCAAGGACACAAACGGTTGTAAAAAGGTCCAATTTTCCCAGTCTCTTGAAACTAAATCATTGGACTGGAAAAGATCTCAAATGAATGATTTCTTACCTTTCATGTAGCATAGAGTTTGATGGGTTTTAGTATATTCACAGAGTTGTGCAATTATCACCACAGTCAGTTTTAGAACATTTTCATCATCCCTTCAAAAAGCCCATACCCATTAGAGGTCAGTCCCTTTTCCCACCTTCCTCCCTCCCCACACCCCAGCCCTACAGAACTACTAATCTACTTCTGTTTCTTATACATTTGCCTATTCTGGATATTTCATATAAATGGAATCCTATGATACATTGTCATTTGTGACTGGCTTCTTTCCCTTGGTGTAATGTTTTCCAGGTTTATTGCTAGATAACATTCCATTGGATAGCTATATCACATTTACCTCTTCATTAGTGGATGGCCATTTTGGGTTGTCTCTACTTTTTGGCTATTATAAATATGCTGCTATAAACATTTGTATATGAGTTTTGTGTGGACGTGTTTTCATTTCTCTTGGGTAAATACCTAAGGAATGGAATATCTGGGTTATATGGTAACTCTGTGTTCAACTGAGGAACTGCTAGACTGTTTTTCAAGGAGGCTGCACCATTTTTACATCCCACCAGCAGTGTATGAGGGCTTTCGATTTCTCCACATCCTTGTCAACACTTACTACTGTTTTGTTTTCTTTTTTAACTTTTTTATTATAGCCATCTTGGTGCCTGTGAAGTGGTATCTCTCTGTGGTTTTGATTTGCATTTCACTAGTGGCTGTTGTTGCATTTCACTAGTGATGTTCAATGTGTTTTCACATGCTTATTGGCCATTATATATCTCCTTTGGAGAAATATCCGTTCAGATTCTTTTCCCATGTGCTAGATTTTTATGCTTCAGAAAAGTGATCACTTTACCCTCTGAATGTGTTACAGAGCTAGGCAGCACTGCTTTTAAATCTGTCAATATGTGAGAGCTTATGAACTGAAGGTAGCTGGAAGTTAGAGGCATAATGAGCCTTTGGCAGGAACTCAAGGCCACTCATTTTACATTTATTGAACAATTGCTGTGCACTAGGGTCTGGTAAAATGAAGATGGATAAGATCTGGTAGTCCTTGCCCTTGAGTCTATGGTCTACAGGGTGGATGGGGCGGGGGGCAGAGAAGTGACTGTGAGGAATCCACAGCTGTCCAAAGAAGGTAATGGCAGGTGGAAGGTAATGTACAGAAGCATGACCGTGTCAACAACTGAGAGCTACACATGGCTGAGTGAGGGGCATGTCCAGGAAATGCTCAGAAGGTCAGTTGGCTGGAGTCTTAAGGAGTGAGCTGGTGAGAGAGATTAAGAGACAAACCTGAAGAGGGGTTTTAGAAATCCTTCCCTTTGAAAGTGGTTGAACTGTTTCCTGAGGGCAATGGGAAATAGTAGTTCAGTGGAGGCCTGATTGGATTTTGTTTTCAGGAGAACCTAGCTGCCCTAGCTGTGCCTGTTGGCTAGGGTGGGGTGGGCCAGACTGGAAGAGACTGTGGAGCACTCCCTAAAGTAGTGCCCCTCAGGGCACGCCCCAGGCTGGTCTGGTCTGGCTCAACGCCGGGCTTTTGCATTCAGATTGAATATTGACCACAGACGAGATCTTGTAGTGTTTTTTTTAAAAAGATTTTATTTATTTAACAGACTTAGCGAGAGAGGGAACACAAGCAGGGGGGGGGAGCAGGAGAGGGAGAAGCAGGCTTCCCGCCGAGCAGGGAGCCCGATGCGGGGCTCGATCCCAGGACCCTGGGATCATGACCTGAGCCGAAGGCAGACGCTTAACAACTGAGCCACCCAGGCGCCCCGGATAGGCAACCTTTAAATTGGGATTTCTTGGCTAGAGAAATGTCTTAGATGTGAAAATATTCTTGGAGATCTAGGCTGGTGACTCATAGAACCACTGAATACTTGGAGGCACAAAGGGGGCCAATGAGAGCCTTGAGCCCCCTCGCTTGTGGATAGCACAAGAAGAGCTTAAGTGACTTGTTCTAGGCCTCACTGCTGCCTGGTGGCAAAGCACATCCACCTTCCCTGGTGCCAGAGCAGTGTCTTTGTTAGCCATTTGTATCTAAGAAAGGAGAGAAAATTTCTCTATTTTTGAATGTTATGTGAAGCAGACTAATGGTTATCATTTTTAAAGTTAAACTTTGTTTTTTTAAGATAAAATACAAGGTGCCCAGTTAAATTTGTATCAGATAAACAATTTTTTGAAATAAACTTTTTGTAACTGAAGACTAACATACTGAAATGTGCATAAACCCAAGTCCCAACTCAATTTTCACAAAGTCAGCACACACCTACGTAACCAGTGCCCCTTGTATCCCTGCCCAGTCACCACCTCCCAGGACAATGGTGACCACTGTTCTGACTGCTGAAAGCATACCTTGGTTTTGCCTGTGTTTGAATTTTATATAAATGGAATCACATAATGATATATGCTTGCTTGTCTCGCTTGTTTCACTTAAACTGTTTTTCCTTTTCTTCCCCAACATTTTTTTTGTTTTTTCCACATTAGTTTTGTTTTATCCCCCTCCTTTTTTTTAAGATTTTATTTATTTATTTGAGAGAGAGAGTGCATGCATGAGTGGGGGGGAGGGGCAGAAGGAGAGAGAATCTCAAGCGGACTCCATGGTGAGCCAGGTGCCTGAGGCAGGGCTTGATCTCACAACCCTGAGATCATGACCCTAGCTGAAATCAAGCGTCTGAGCCACCTAAAGGGCCTCTTACCTCCTTTTTTTTTTTTTTAGATTTGAGGTATAATTTACATACAGTAAAATTAACTCATTTTACATGTATAATTTGAATTTTGGTCACTGCATACAGTTAGGTAATCACCATCAAGATCTAGGACCATTCCATCACCGTAAAAAAAAGTTTCCCTGTGCCTTTCTGTAGTTGATCTTCTGCTCTGATCCCAGGCTTTCTTTCACTGTAGTTTTTTTTCCTAGAATTTCATAAAATGAAATCCTATAGTATGTAGTCTTTTTGCATTGCTGTATTATTCCATGGTAGGAGTGTACTGTTTATTCTGTTGGTGGACATCTGGGTTGTTTCTATTCTTATGCTATTATGAGTAGTGCTGCCCTGACCCTCCTGTGCGTGTCTTTACCACGTGCAGGTTCAGTTCTGTTGCACGCACCCCACCCGCATGTAAAAGTGGAACTGCGAGGTTTGGCTTCAGTAGATGCTGCCAGCAGGTTTCAAAGTGGTTGTACCAGTTTCCACTCCGGACAGGTAGTATATGAAAGTCCTGGGTTTTCTGTATCCTCACCAACACTTGATGTTTGTCGTTTGTAATTTTAGCCATTCTGTAAGTCAGTAGTTGTAACTTAAGAACAACAAAATTATAATGAGTTGCCAGCTGTTCTATAGGAGCTTCTCACCAAGCAAGGTCTTGTGTTAGGTGGGAGTTTATTTTGTGTGGCTTATCTTTCCTTTTTAAGTAATCTCTACACCCAGGGTGGGGCTCGAACTCACAATCCTGAGGTCAAGAGTCCTATGTTTTGCTTGACTAAGCCAGCCAGGCGCCCCTGTCTGTTTTTCTTTTATAATTCTGTATTGTACTGCCATAGGTAGAATTGTTGATGAAAGTCCTGATTCTGAGTATTATTGAGAGGATTGACTTTCCAGGGCACCTGGGCGGCTCAGTTGGTTGAGCATCCGACTCTTGATCTCAGCTCAGGTGTTGATCTTGGGGTCATGGGTTCAAGCCCCTCGTTGGGTTCCACGCTGGGTGTGGAGCCTACTTAAAAAAAAGAAGAAGAAGAAGATTGAATTTCCACAGTGTAAGATGATACCGAATTTTGCTTTGCCAGTGTTGTGGTGTTTTTGAAAAGAGCAGTTAAAGCTGAATGCTTGTTTTCAATTTGTTTTAGCCTGAGGCCACTGAGAAAGGAGTCTATTTTCTGTTAATACTGCTTTTAGTCTGGGGGCAGTGGCTCATGTTCCTGGCTTCTCTTTTGCTTTTCAGTGAGGTGCTGGCAGAGGAGTCGATAGTATGTCTCCAGAAAGCTCTGAATCACCTTCGAGAAATCTGGGAATTAATTGGGATTCCAGAGGACCAGCGGTTACAAAGAACTGAGGTTGTAAAGAAACATATCAAGGTGAGTGAGTCGTACTGGTCTGTTTGCAATGGGACAGCCATACGGATACTGGTGTCCCATTGGAGATGGTCAGGGAAGTGACACTGGGGTGTCACAGGCTCTTCCTGGTTTTGTTTCTATTTAAGTCCTTTCTTAAGAATTTGTAATTAAGAAGGTTTTGGTGTTGTTGGTTTGGAGTTTTTCTCCCATTGGCCCCAAACTTTTATGGGACTGTTTTCTCTCTTGTAGGACCTCCTGGATATGATGATTGCTGAAGAGGAAAGCCTGAAAGAAAGGCTCATCAAAAGCATTTCCATCTGTCAGAAAGAGCTGAATACCCTGTGCAGCGAATTACACGTCGAGCCATTTCAGGTACGTGGTCGGGCCTTGGGGGCTCCTGCTTGGTCTGAGATTTAGGAAGGAACTCTGACTTGGGGCTGCAGATGGAAGATTTCCTTGTAGAATCTTGGCCATAAAAAGCGGGCAGAATTTGCCACCTAGTTAATTAGTTCCAGCAACTTTCACTTAGGTAAAGAGTTGCCCTGTTGAGAGGTGGAACAGCTAATAAGTGTTACAATCCTCTGATCAAAAACAGCTTCCTCTTGCCATCATTTTGTGGGGCATATAACTTTTTTTTTTTTTTTTTTTAACTCTAAGGAAAAGCTAGGTATAGATGGTACTGTGCTATTCTTTCTCCGAAAGAAAATGAAAGGCACTATCTAGAAAGCAAAAGTGACTGGTGATACAAGGGAAAGTTACCAAAAGACCTGCCTTTGGGGGTTTTTTCATACCCAGTAGTTGTATACCACTGAACCAGCCAGAATGGCTACTTGAGGAGAAATGTCTCAAGAGCTGGAGTGTCTGGAGAGCATAGTCAAATTCAGAGCATGCAGGATTATCTGTGTACCAGGCTGAGAGGTTGCCGTTTGGTGGTCCAGCACAAGGCAGGGCTTGAATGAAGACACCAGCAAGGATGAAAGGAATAACAGATAAGATAGAGGGTCCAAAATATGTCCCTGGGGAGGACCAGTAAAAATAGTGTTGGGATCATAAAAATGAAAACCAACGTGAAGCTTGGGAAGGTAATTCAATAGCTGTGAATGTAGGGCTAGCACAGGATGGCTGTAAGATTCTTGGGTCCCTCTCTCTGTTACAGCAAGAACTACCTGGGTATCTAGATTGAGTCAGCCTGGGAGGGAGTTTCTTCCTTTTCCTTTTCCTTTTCCTTCCTTCCTTTCAAAAGATTTTCTTTATTTATTTGAGAGAGAAAGCACAAGTGGGGGAGGGGGGACAGAGGGAGAGGGAGAAGAAGCAGACTCCCCGCTGAGCGGGGAGCCTGATTTAGGACTCGATCCCAGGGCCCTGGGATCATGATCTGAGCCAAAGGCAGATGCTCAACCAACTGAGCCATACCTGGCAGCCAAGAGCAATCAGATAGATCATGACATTAGTGGAATTTCCTGGAATCTACAGAAATGGCATATATATCATTGATTTTATTTTATTTTATTTTATTTTTTTTAATTTTATTATGTTAGTCACCGTACAGTGCATCATTAGCTTTTGATGTGGTGATCCACGATCCATTGTTTTCGTGTAACACCCAGTGCTCCATGTAGTACGTGCTCTCCTTAATACCCATCACCGGGCTAACCAATCCCCCCACCCCCTTCCCCTCTAAAACCCTGTTTGTTTCTCAGGTCCATAGTCTCTCATGGTTCATCTCTCCCTCCAATTCCCCCCGCCCATTTTTCCCTTCCTTCTTCTAATGTCCTCCATGCTATTCCTTATGTTCCACAAACAAGTGAAACCGTATGATAATTGACTTTCTCTGCTTGACTTATTTCACTTAGCATAATCTCCTCCAGTCCCATCCATGTTGATGTAAAAGTTGGATATTCATCCTTTCTTTTTTTTTTTTTTTCTTAAAGATTTATTTATTTGAGAGAGAGAGAATGAGAGAGAGCACATGAGAGTGGGGAGGGTCAGAGGGAGAAGCAGACTCCCTGCTAAGCAGGGAGCCCGATGCGGGACTCGATCCCGGGACTCCAGGATCATGACCTGAGCCGAAGGCAGTTGCTTAACCAACTGAGCCACCCAGGCGCCCCGGTATTCATCCTTTCTGATGGCTGAGTAATATTCCATTGTCTATATGGACCACATCTTCTTTATCCGTTCATCTGTTGAAGGGCATCTCAGCTCTTTCCACAGTTTGGCTATTGCGGACATTGCTGCTATGAACATTGGGGGTGCATATGGCCCTTCTTTTTATATCATTGATTTTAGACAAATAGTTTCTTTAGTCTTTTAACTTTCAATGTGAAATTAGGTGAGAAGTTAGATATACAGTGATATATCTCCCTTAAATTATATGACAGTCTTTTATTCATGAACGTTGAATAAAATTGTGTAAATTTTTAAGTCCTATAACTGCCACTTTTTTTCCTCTTGTTAATCAGTTGGAGTAGAGCAAGGACTATTGATTTTTATTGGTTAGGTGATATTCTTAGGATTATTAGGATGAGCATCATGTTTTGAACTAAATATACTATGCTATAGCTAACTCAAAGCAAGCTTTCCAACCACTTTTCACCTCTTGCAAAAGTGTCCTGGTACCTTTCCTTATTCGAGACCTTTCTTAGGGAACTCTGTGCCATATTTTTTTGGCCATGAGTTGACTTATTTGTAAGTTTACCTTAAAAGTCTGTCATCCAAGGGGCGCCTGGGTGGCTCAGTCAGTTAAGCGTCTGCCTTTGGCTCAGGTGATGATCCCAGAGTCCTGGGATTGAGTCCCATGTCAGGCTGCCTGCTCAGCGGGGAGTCTGCTTCTCCCTCTGCCCTTCACCTGGGCTCGCTCGCTCTCTTGCTCTCTCAAATAAAATCTTAAAAACAACAACAAAAAAAGGCCTGTCATTCTAGCCCTCTTCCATTGTCCTTCTCTTCATTTGAAGAGATCCACTTGGAACCTTCTCACAATAGTACATTGTCTCCTGCAGGAAGAAGGAGAGACGACCATCTTGCAGCTAGAAAAGGATTTGCGCACTCAGGTAGAACTGATGCGAAAACAGAAAAAGGAACGAAAACAGGAACTGAAACTACTTCAAGAACAAGATCAAGAGCTGTGTGAAATTCTTTGCATGCCCCACTATGACATCGACAGCACCTCAGTTCCCAGCTTAGAAGAGCTGAGCCAATTTAGACAGCACGTGGCCACAATGAGGGAAACAAAGGTAAGCGCTTGCAGTCATACTTCCTAAAAGTCAGTTTTGACTTTCCTGTAGGTAGGCACTTGTAATCATTTTATTTTATAGGCATCTAGACGTGAGGAGTTTGTCAACATAAAGAGACAGATCATCCTGTGTATGGAGGAATTAGATCACACCCCAGACACAAGCTTTGAAAGAGATGTGGTGTGTGAAGATGAAGACGCCTTTTGTTTATCTCTGGAGAATATTGCAACACTACAAAAGTTGCTTCGGCAGGTAATGACTACTCACATTATGGCCTGGGATCTCCATAGTGTCCAGAGATTTGAAAAAACGGACAGTTTTGTCCTTCTGTCTTAAATAAGCCAGTGTAAGTTAAAAGAATGAGGGAGGATAAAGATAGTAAATATTATATAACCTCGGGGGTTTTTTTGTCTTCTTTTTAACAAAAAATGTATTTGTGGCTCTAAGAATGAAATTGAAATCTTGGATGAAATACTGTTAGTCATGTGAATTAACTTAGTATTTAATTTTTTTTAATAATCTGAATCCTAATTCTTGGGGCTTGAGATTCTACCATAATGGCAGCCATACAGTTTGTGTTCAGAAGTCATGAAAACACACTTCTTCACAATCTAGTAAAAGTGCTTCTCCTCTCTGTGGGTCCAGACATTTCTTTGCGGGAAGCCACAGGGCTGGCCTTCTTTGTGCTGCTGTCTTTGCCATAACCATTGGCTCTCCTTGCTACAGCTGGAAATGCGAAAATCACAAAATGAAGCAGTGTGTGAGGGTCTGCGAGCTCAGATCCGAGAGCTCTGGGACAGGTTGCAGATACCTGCGGAAGAGAGAGAAGCTGTGGCCACGGTTATGACTGGGTCAAAGGCCAAGGTCAGGAAAGCGGTAAGAAATCCAATGGGCACTGGGTCCGCAGTCTCTACGAGTGTCAAGTGTATTGTCTTCAACAGTGTCTGCCTCAGGCGAGCCTGTTTTTTGTTTTAAAGATTTATTTATTTGAGAGAGAGTGTGTGCGCAGAATGTGCAAGAACACGAGTGGGGTGGGTGGTGGAGGGAGAGAAGCAGACTCCCCACTGAGCAAGGAGCCTGATGCAGGGCTCTATCCCAGGACCCAGGGATCATGACCTGAGCCAAAGGCAAACACTTAACCAACTGAGCCACCCAGGCATCCCACGAACCTGTTTTTAAGGCAAGCATTAGATAAGGGTGGCTGTAGCCTGCTCATCTTCTGTCCTTTGTGGACATTTCTTAGGTTTCTGGCTCCCATGATATCAGCGTTATAAAAAGTGTTGACTGGGGCACCTGGGTGGTTCAGTGGGTTGGGTGTCCAGCTGTTGAGTTTGGCTCAGGTCATGATCTCAGGGTCGTGGGATCAAGCCCCACACCCAGCTTGGAGCCTGCTTGGGATTCTTTCCCTCTCTGCCATTCTGTGCGCGGGCATGCACACTCTCTCTCTTAAGAAAAAAAAGTGTTGATTTACCTCTGTGGCTTTGTGTTATAATTTTATTTAAACGCCGGGGGCGGGGTGGGGGGCTTTTGAACTTTTGTATTCCTATGTGAGAGTAAACGTATGGCAAGCACCTTTACCAAGTCTCTTTGTTACAGCTGCAATTGGAAGTGGATCGGTTGGAAGAACTGAAGATGCAAAACATGAAGAAAGTGATTGAGGCAATTCGAGTGGAGCTGGCTCAGTATTGGGACCAGTGTTTCTACAGCCAGGAGCAGAGACAGGCTTTTGCCCCCTACTATGCTGGTTCGTACACAAGCGGAGGTCTTCCTGAGGGCAGACATTGACCAGCACGTATTTCCTCTACCAAACAGATACAGCTGCCTTTTCAAGCCATGTAGCATAAATTGCCATTCCTGCATAATTAACATTAGCAAATGCCACTAGGAAATAAAGGGCCTCTTGATTCTTGAAATAGTAAATCACTGTAGCCTGTAGTTGTGAGGCTCAAGTCTGTCGGGTGCTTACTCCATGCCAGGTGCAGTGTTAGACCCGTAACACTATTATCTCACTTAATCCTCACCTCAAGAGATGAGGACATGAAGGCACATAAATGTTCAGCAAATGCACTAAGAGGCACACAGCAGGTCAACAGCAGAGCCCGTGTTTGAGCCCATGGAATCCATCCCCAAGAGCTCAACAGAATTCGAGTCTGACCTGAACAGAGTATAAAGATGAGATTGTACTAAGTTTTTATTTTTATTTTTTTTTAAGATTTTATTTATTTGACAGAGAGACACAGCGAGAGAGGGAACACAAGCAGGGGGAGTGGGAGAAGGAGAAGCAGGCTTCCCGCTGAGCAGGGAGCCCGATGCGGGGCTCAATCCCAGGACCCTGGGATCATGACCTGAGCCAAAGGCAGACGTTTAACGACTGAGCCACCCAGGCGTCCCTGAGATTGTACTAAGTTTTTAGACATTTTCTGTGAGCAGGATGGAAAGGAAGACTGTGAAGGAAACCTAGAACAAGGCAAGAAGTGACACAGAACTTTTGAAAATCTTCATCATTGTAACCTACACCCTAGCCCCTTACTCCCTACTCTCCCCAGACTGATCATGTGACAGAGCTGGCTTTATCATCCACAATATATACTTAATCATGTGTCATTTTTACTATAAGGAAGAAAAACGGATTTCCATCTTGGGAGGATGAGGATGAGGGATTAGTAAATTGGGATGCTAAACACTAGAGGAATTTTTTAAAACTTCTGGGCCTGTATCTTGCAGAGGACTACACGGAAAATCTGCTCCAGCTCCATGATGCTGAGATTGTGCGGTTAAGAAACTACTATGAGGTTCACAAAGAACTCTTTGAAGGTGTCCAGAAGTGGGAAGAAAGCTGGAGACTTTTCTTGGAGTTTGAGGTACCGCCCTAGCTTCTGTTTCCCTAGAGTACAATCAAGGCTTAAGGCCTGCCCTGCATAGAGTCAGAATCCACTCTCCTTTCTCTTTACCAGGTTTCTAACACCCTGTCTTCATCACTAAGTTTCTGAGTTACTGCTAACCCATCTGTGTTTGCAAAGCTCATAGGTGGGAGCACAGAACTAAATTAATGCCTTCAATAAGGTAGAATTCTTGCATAAAGAAGTCCAGAGGTACAGCATACAGGGCAGGTCCAGCTGTTCGACAGTCAGTGGTGTCCCAGGCTTCTCCAGCCCGGGGCTCCCCCACCACTAAGGGGTGGACATTATCCCCAGGTTCAGGGTAGCTGGAGAGCTCCCCCTGTTGCGCTTCATGCCCTGCCCCTCCAGCCCCTCTGAGGGCTCTTCCCAGCCCCTCTGCTTGCACACCACACCAGCTGCTGGTGAGGCTGGGGGAGCTTTTGCCACAGATAAATTCAGGTTCTCCGGACAAAGGAAGGAGAGGGCGGATGTGGGGCCAGGCAGTTATTATTTGCTACCATTCCAACTTCTGTCTTCTTAGAAAGTTGCCTGGGTATTAGGGCACATTTGTATAGTCTGAATTCCTCTTCTTCTGACAGACTTGGCACTCATAGCTTTCCTCAGAGCTTTTCTGAGCTCAGGGCTGGGAGGACTTGGTTGAGCCAGACGAGACATGCAGGGCACACGGAGACTCCTTCTCAGAGCTTGAAAGGGACCGTTAGAGAATCTGAGTTCAACTCCTTCAAGGTTATAGGAGGGAAACGAGGACTCAGATGGAGAGACCTATGTGAGATCTCACAGCTGTTTAAGAACAGATGTCCTACTGTTACTCCTTAACTTGTGGTTGAAAGCAAGAAGGAAGGGTAGTAAATGTCAGTAAAGAGCCAGATAAGTAAGTCTTGTGGACATGCCAGTATTTAAGGAAAAATAAAAGCATTACCATCCCCTGTAGTTAGTGTTTATGGGCAGTTAGCAATCAAGTGGTCTGGAAGGGGGAACAATTTCTTTACAAGCTTTGCCTCCAAATTGTCAAGATTGTTTCTAAAGTTTTCTGATGATCTCCAATTTTTGAGTGTATAAATCTAACTTATATGCACAAATTACATGCTTAAATTACTGTTCTGGTATACTGTATACATGATACAGTAACAAATAACAGAAAAGAGGAGGAAGCCTAACACTTTACATGTTTACTTGCCTATTTTGTGAGTGTTAATTTCATAAACACTGGGTTATAAACCACCTAACTGGGCACATTTAAGCTGCATTGTCAATATGCTAGAAGTGAGTGGGCAAGTAGGGGTGCCACCACCAAGCCCTCCCGAGTGTAGACCTCTCCCTTGTCCCTCCACATATATTCCCTATAGATGACAAGTCATCTTTGACATCTGAACCAAGGAAGGGAGCCAGTGACATTGTGTATTACATATTAAAGCCTATCTTTTATTTTTTTTAAGATTTTATTTATTTATTTGAGAGAGGGAGAGAGCCAGGGGGAGAGGCAGAGGGAGAAGCAGACTCCCTGCTGAGCCAGGAGTCTCAAGCGGGGCTCAATCCCAGGACCCTGTGATCATGACCTGAGCTGAAGGCAGATGCTTAACCCACTGAGCCATCCAGGCGCCCCCTCTGTTGCTTTTAGATTAAAAAGAAAACCGTAGTTTTTTTTTTACACACCAGTGAATGATCTTGCATGTGCCTGTGGTGCTCACACCCCACTCTCCTGTCTTAGAACACCACCATTTCTCGCTGCTGACAGTGGATGGGAATGCGAAACTCTCTGAGTCTCCTTAGTATGTATCAGTTTATGAGAGCAAGGAATCTTAGCAGTAGTTACTAGTCTGATCATCTCAGGGCCTACTCTAGTTAAAAGGTATTTTTTACAGAGAAAAGCTTCAGATCCAAGTCGATTTACAAACCGTGGAGGAAATCTTCTAAAAGAAGAAAAGCAACGAGCCAAGCTTCAAAAAACACTCCCCAAGGTAAGATCGCTACTAAGAGTTTTTGGCGCTTGGCTACAAAGTACCTTACTTTTTTGTATAGCCTTTGCTTTGAATTGTCTTGCCCCAGAACTGTCTTCTTTTCCAAAGCTTAGGCAAGGATGGTAAGTATATACCGAGCCTTCCTGGTGTAAGCACCTGAGTATCAGGGTTTCTTAGCTTTCTAGGGCTGCCATAGCAAAGTGCCACAGACTTGGGGGCCTTCAACAACAGAGATTGTTTTTCACAATTCTAGAGGCTAGAAGTCTGAGATCAGACTATCAGTAGGGCTGGTTTCTTCTGAGGCCTCTCTCTTTGACTTGTGGATGACTTGCTGTCTCCCTGTATCTTCACATGGCCTTCCTTCTGTATCTATATCCAAATTTTCTTTTAACAAAGCCACCGGTCACGTTGGATTAGGACTCACCTGAATGACCTCATTTTTTTTTTCCCCCAAATGACTTCAACTTCATTACCTGCCTGTCCAAATAAAGCCACATTCTGAGGTACTGGGAGAGTTAGCACTTAAACATGACTTTGGGGAGGATGCAATTCAGCCTATAGCATAAGGCAAGCTTTTGAGAAAGTACGAGAGTGCAGGGTGGTGGGGTGGAGGGAGGGAGAAGCAGACTCCCCGCGGAGCAGGGAGCCCGACACAGGGCCCACTCACAGGACGGGGAGATCATGACCCAAGCGGAGGGCAGACGCCCCACTGACTGAGCCACCCAGGCGCCCCCTGTTGTCCCTTTTAATAGTAGTAGTAATTGTTACCCTTTATTAAGTGCCAGATACTGTTGCAAAGTGCTTTCCATTTATTAATTCATTTAGTTACCACAACATCTTTATGAGGGTGGTATCATTTCCATTTTTATAGATGAGGAAATGCCCTGAGAACTTCAGTAACTTGCCCACCTTTTCATAGCCAGTGAGAGGTAGATTCCAGATCAGAACCCAGAGAGTGGTGCTCGTAACCCACACTGCCTATTTCATGTTGTTCGTCTTCCCCAGTGCTACCTCCAGCTTTAGGCACCAAAACCCTAGTTAGACTCTGGGTTCCTGCCTTTTCCCACCTTCATGTGTGTTATGAATAAACCATTACTAGGCTTTACTTTCTGGTCACTCTGACCTGTACCCACATGGGTCCAGCAACTTGATGTTGAGCTCATGGTTCTCTGGGGTGGGGTCCTCCTTTGGGAGAATCATTTCATTCGAGCTTCATACCAAAGATTTGAAGTAATTAGCATGTCCTTGTCTATGATCCCAGTTGGAAGAGGAGTTGAAGGCACGGATTGAAATGTGGGAACAGGAGCATTCGAAGGCATTTGTGGTGAATGGGCAGAAGTTCATGGAGTACGTGATGGAGCAATGGGAGATGCATCGACTGGAGAAGGAGCGAGCCAAGCAAGAAAGAGTGAGCGAGCATAGTGGGGGACAAAGGGATAGGGGGAATGTGAGCAGCCCAGGGTCTCTGCGGGGGATGAGGGGTGGCTGAAGAGGTAGCCCTGGGTACAGGGACTGGGCACTCGATTTCTGGCCCTGCTTCTGTCCCATCTCAGGCCTATTCCCTTCCTGAGATTTATCGCTGTTGCTTCTGACTTCCACACAGCAACTCAAGAACAAGAAGCAGACAGAGACAGAGATGCTCTATGGCAGTGCTCCCCGAACCCCCAACAAGCGGCGAGGACTGGCACCCAACACACCGGGCAAAGTGCGCAAGGTGAACATGAGGCTTTGTGAACCACTCTTTTTTTTTTTTTTTTTTTTTTTAAGATTTTATTTATTTATTAGAGAGAGAGAGTGAGTTAGCAAGAGCTGGAACACAAGCAGAGGGGATTAGGAGAGGGAGAAGCAGGCTTCCCGCTGAACAGGGAGCCCGATGCGGGGCTTGATCCTAGGACCCTGGGATCATGACCTGAGCTGAAGGCAGACGCTTAACGACTGAGCCCCCCAGGCGCCCCTGTGAACCACTCTTTACGAGGGGCTGTTGAGGCTAGGGCTCTTGGCCACCTCTTGTCTCCTGCCCTACAGATGGGAAAGGGTTTTGGGGGCCTTCTGGTTTGGGTTCCTCTAAAAGTATGAATGGAAAACTATACTTATCCCCAGCAGCAACTCGATAATGACAGTCATGGAGCGGTCAGCTCGGATGTGTGCCTGTTGTTGAGGTCTCGGGTTAAACTCAGGGGAGACCATACTGCCAACAATCTGTAATGATGAAGACCTTCAGAGGTTCATCCTGGAATTCCAACAAGTGACCGTGGTATTCTGTGAAAGACTTTCATGTTTAGTAAATGGAATATTCAGTACTCCTCAATCTCTGGAGCAGGAAATTGGGGAGAATTTTAACCTTTTCTTTGATAAATGAAGAAGTAGAGCATTATTTCCCTTCTCTTTCCTCAGCTCATATTTTCTAACACATAGATAGTTAAAGAATTACCTTTGCAGGGGCGCCCGGCTGGCTCAGTCAGTAGAATATGCGACTCTTGATCCAGGGACCAGGAGTTCAAGTCCCATGCTGGGGGTAGAGGTTACTTAAAGAAAAAAAAAAAATCACCGATAAACTCCAAGAGGACCACTGAGAATATTTGTTTTTCCTGATTTTAAAAAAGCTTTTAAATAATGTATTTTTAAAAACAAAACAGATTACATATAATTTGGATTCCTGCCTTTTCCCTACTTGGTATTGGTTGTGATTTTTTTTCATAGCATCAAACATTCTTCAAATACATGCTCGTTATTATTAGCTGTACATTCTATCCTGACATGCTGTCATTTATTAAACTAGCTCCCTAAAGATTTATTATCTTAAAGAGTGTGCGTGCCCATGCTCAAGGGAGGGGGGGAGAGGGGCAGCGGGAGAGGGAGAGAATCTCAAGTAGGCAGGCTCCATTCCCAGCACAGAGCCCAGCCCAGGGCTCGATCCCATAACCCTGAGATCACAACTTGAGCCGTAATCAAGTCAGACACTCAAGCGACTGAGCCACCCAGGTGCCCCTACCTAGAGTTTATTTTTTTAAAGTTTAGTTTTATTGAGTAAAATTGGCACATGAAGTGTTTGCTTTCATAAGTTTTGACACATGTATACACCGCGAAACCATCACCACAGCCAAGCCTGTGAACACATCCATGGCACGCAAAGTTTCCTCCTGCAGTTTGTGTTCCCTTTGCTCCCCCACAGCAGCCACAGACTTGCTGTCACCACTGACTAGTTGCATTTTCTAACATTTTATATACGTGCAATTATACAGTATGTATTCCTTTATGGTCTGGCTTCTTTCATGTAGCATAATATTTGTGAGATTCCTCTATGTGGTTGCATATGTAATAGGTCACTCCTTTTTAATGGGGACCAGTAGTCCATTGCATGACTCGACCACAATTTGCTTATGTGCCTGTGGATGGACATTTGGCTTGTTTGTGGTGTTTGGGCTATTACACAAAAAGCGGCTATATTTGTACATTGGTCTTTGTATGGATATCTGCTTCCATTTCTCTTGTGTAAATACCTAATTTGATAGATTTAGAAACAAAATGGCTGTACCATTTTTTTTTTCTTATCACTCATTTTATGTAAAAGAATATTTTAATTCTTGTCCTTAGGAACTATAAAGACTATACATGATTTGGAAATGAGATTGTACCAAACAATGGCCAAAGGAGAATCGTCCATTCTACGCCTTCTCTTTGGTCTGGTCACTCAGAAATATAATGTTATCAGCTATGATTGTTGTTGCTTGCCGCCTCACGTTATTTTTATCTGTGTATTCACCATAGTCTACTTTCCCTTCTACATAAATTCGGGACCCCTTTTTCACATACTGATATGCCACATCTCTGAGGCCTGGGCGGAATACTGATATTCTGTGCCATGTTGTCTTTTGACTGACATCACTCATCTGGTAGGCTTCACTCTCCCCGGACCGCCACATCTCATTCGTCACTAGAGAAAATATCGTGACTGGGTTTTTCCCTTCCACCTGTCTCATGATGGGGTCCTGACCCACTCGCCCAAGCAGCTGCACACGGTTCAGAGATCTTTCAAGAACCAAGCTGCTAGCTATTTCAGACTCACGTCTTACAAACTGGTGAAATACCTGTAATACACGTCTTCGAAACATGGCTTCTATTTGGTTTTCCTACAAACTAGTCTCTGGTCTTCCCCCATTTGCATTCCAGTCTTCCCAAATTTCATTAAAATGCAAGCCCCCTTAGAGCTGGGATTTTCGTCTGATTTATTCACTGCCACATCCAATACTCCTGAGTTAGTTCACCTAGCGAAGAACTCCTGGCTCCCTCCCTCCCGCCCCGGATGCTCTAGCCGGTTCCTGGCTGTACCATTTTATAGTTCAATCCAGATAGAAATCGGCTTTGAACACTTATCACAGGTTTCCTCAAAGCTCTTAACCATGGAAACCCATCTTTCTTAGACAGTTTCCTATATTCCTTTCTCTCTAGTGTAGGGATGGGCTGCTGAGCATGCTAAGTATGTTCTGTCCTTCTGGTCTCCTTAGCTGAACACTACCACCATGTCCAATGCTACGGCCAACAGCAGCATTCGGCCGGCCTTCGGGGGGACAGTCTACCGTTCGCCTGTGTCTCGACTTCCACCTTCTGGCAGCAAGGTTGGTATGTTCTGCGTACAAGGACGTCACCAGCACAGCTCCAGCCTATTTAGGGGCCCCACCTGCTTGTTCCAGTTTCTAAGATCCCCGGATTCAATTTTCATTGAGATGCTGAGAGTAAGCTAGCTTATCTGTCAAAAAAAAAAAAAGTCATTCTGAACCCCAGTAGTATCATGGGAGTCACTGGGATGTAATTCTGTGGGCTCAGTTCAAAGCCTGGTCTTCAGCTGCTGCTGAGTGAGGTCCGATGACTCTGGTCCACGAGACAGTCGGGTACCCTCACGTAAGGAGAGGTAGGGAATATGGGCTAAATGTGTCTTCCAAGTATTTTACAGACTGGGCTCAAGAGAGGTACTCTGCAAACCATTAAGAATTCATATATTTTTTAAAACCACAAGTAGAGACATGAATAATATAAAGACATTATTAGCCTTTGGCCACTTGCTCGCGCAGACGTGCGTGCGTGCGTGTGCGGGTGTGTGTGGTCATTATGAGCATGATGCACGGATTTCTCTCTTTTCTTTGCAGCCAGTCATCACTTCCACTTGTTCGGGGAAAAAAACACCCCGTGCTGGGAGGCATGGAGCCAACAAGGAGAACCTGGAGCTCAATGGCAGCATCCTGAGCGGTGGGTACCCCGCCTCGGCCCCCCTCCAGCGCAACTTCAGCATTAATTCTGTTGCCAGCACCTATTCTGAGTTTGCGGTAATTCACCTTTTCTAATATCTACCAGTCTCTGGGGAGCACACAGTTGGGGCAGAGCGGGTTTCTTCCCCAGGGCACCCAGACGATTAGGACAGTTCTTTGGAGGCTGAGAATCCCTTTCCTGCCTTGACCGTGGCATGGGGTCGGGTGGTTTAAGGGGATCTATAAGAAGGAAGTTGGCAGTAGCAACTCGACATTTAACCTGGATCCTTCTGCTTAAGAAATACCATTCCCTGGCTGCAGGAGGGGACTTCTGATCACTGCCCTGGTGCTCTCTTGGTGGAGTTCTTGGTAATTGTCTTAATTCTTTGTTCTTAGAAGGATCCGTCCCTCTCTGACAGCTCCACTGTTGGGCTTCAGGTCTGTATGGCAATCCCTGCATGTCCCATGTCCGTTTTCCAAACTCCTCTGTCACATCTGCTGGCTTAATTCCCATCTGGGCACGGAGCTACACTAACCAATCTCAGCTGTACTATCCTAGAACCTTTTTTTACAAAGGAAGCAGGAATTCCTAACGCAGAAATCAAAAATACTTTCTGATTTAAGTCCCAACAGCCTAACCTGCTGATTAACACCTGTTCAGACTTGAATTGGATTCTCAGCCCTACCTAAAGTCAGGCAAAGTTTTTTTTGTGATGTATTTCACACCAGAAGACCTTCACCCTCCCCAGTTGTGACATCAGAGGCCTCCAGTGTGCTGGAAAGAATAGAGGCCCCATCACGTGGGGAGGGGAGCCCCAGCTGTGTGCTATCATGAGGTTCTTGGCCTGTGTGCTGATTATTTCCTGGAGTATATGCCTTACTAACCGCCTGGGGATGAACTGCCAACTTTCTGTCTCCTGTGAGCTCCCCACTGCTTGTGTCCTTGCCTCTGAGCTGCTCAGGCATCCACGCGGCTCTGAAAAAGTGGTTTTTTTCCCAGACACTCTTCAGTTCCTAGTAACCTACTCCATCTTGACTAACACTTAACTGCAGTGCCCTTTACTTAACAATGTGTGCTCTCTCCTCTGTGTCTTCCTGTTGAGGGGGGGGGGCTGCTCCTCCCCCATGCTGCCGACTACCTTGCTGCAGTGACGGAGAATGGGGCAGGTGCCCGAGGCTGGAGCTCGGAAACTAGCTTCATACTATGGCACTTTTTTCAAATTACACGACTGGTAGGGCTTTATTTACAGAAGTGTGTCACTCTGGCTAGCTGACTGCTGGACAGAGGGTCCCGCTTTCTCTTGCTTGCTTAAGCCAAGCCCCTTGTCATCCCCTTGGGGCTTAAATGTATCTGCTTATCTTTATGGCAAGGCCGAGGGAGGGAGGGTCTATCTGGTTTGGGTTGCTATGGCTGGTAGACTCCACCAGGCAGTACCAAAGCCAGCGGACTAACCTCGACTAACCTCTCTCTTACTCAGTGGTCATTCGTGCTTTATCTTCTTCTATTCCATGTGCTCCAGCATGAGATCAAATCACCAGCAGGTTACAAGGCCCTCAGCCCCAGGGATTGGTAGATAGATGGTCTGGCCCCCTGCTTTATAAAGGGCTCAAAAGACCAAAGGTTGTTGCCTGCCCAGCTTGATAACTCCAGAGAGTACTTTGTGAAGTGTAAGGGATTTCTCTTCTGTGAGGTTTTAACAGAACGTACTGGCTAAGGAAAGGGGTCCAGGGTCACCATGTGCACATGCTTCATCTGTGACTAATAGAATGGTGCTCAGAGTCTCTCATCTGATGTTCCTAACACGACCCGTGCTGGAGAGGGACCTGGGGCTCGGAGAAACACACGCCCGTGCACACGAGGGTGGGGCGCGTGGGAGTGGGTCCGTAGTGCCGCTGACCGTGTTTATTTTTCAACAGCGAGAACTTTCAAAGGCTTCCAAATCTGACGCTACTTCTCGAATCCTCAATTCGACCAACATCCAGTCCTGAGAAGCCCTGATCAGTCAGCTGCTGTGGCTTCCTGTGCTTAGACTAGATCTGATTAGACAGGGGTGATTTTTCTTGAGTTTAGGTGTGCTTGAAAATCTGGTTCCACTGCCACGGGCCTAACGACAGACGTGAATGAGAGTTACAGATGAAGATCCATCAGAGGTTTAGTGGGTCTTCAAAAACTTGATTTTGTTTTGACCCAAGAAATACATTAAAACTTAGTTCATAGTGGTAAGTGCAAATTTTAGCAGATGGAACCTGATTTCTCTGCCCCATAATTCTACTTGCCGAAGCACGAGCAAAGGCTTGTATCTCACCATTGTGTAGGAAAATGATTGTGCCCATCCTGGGGGCATGGGACATGAAGTGAGATTGGCCTGTACCCTTAGAATTAGTAATTAACATCTTTTTTGCTTAGGGATGTTCCATTAATGCTATAGCTGTGATAGCTTTGCTCTCACCTAAAGATCTGTCTCCACCACACAGGATAGCCTTCCTCCTGATGAGGGTGTCTGTGTGTCAGAAGTTGAGACGGCCTGACCTACTGCCAAAGAGGTGACAGGGAGGCTGGGAGCTCCTTTGTTTTGGTTATATAGTGCAATGCCCTTTGTGGGGTATGTGTGTCCGAACACACACGCTCACCTGAACGCTGTTTCTGTAGTCTTCTCTGGGTCGAGGCCCCCAGCCCCGTGCCCACTGGGCCGGAGTTCGTCTGCCCCCTGCAGTTGGCAGCCACGGTGGGGGGTGGTCAGGACGGGTTGGGCCATTTCTGTCCCGGAGATCTGGAACTTTGCACATGTCAGTACTGGGGAGTTCCTCACCTACCCTGCCGATCACTACTGCTCTCCCCGAAGCCCTATTTATTCTCACTCTGCCTGCCCGTCAGCACGTTCAATGGTTCTCGAAAGCTCGCGGCATGGGTTTGGTCTGTGTCAGCCATGCTGCTTAGACGCATACATGTCCTGTTTTTAAAAATATATATTCTTGAAAATAAATTAATGCGTATACTGACGTTTCAAAAAGATACATGGTGGTGGTTTTTCTTTCTTCCCCCAAATCACTTTTTGGTCAGTTTGGTCTGTGGAAAATAGAAAAGACTAAAAACATACAAGAGATTTTTAGTCAGGAGTGTGATTTTTATATTCTTTTATGCACTTATTTCTAAATTAAAAATATTTTTTATTTTGAGGAAAAATCCAACTCCTGATATATAAAGGGGCTGAAGTCATATTAGGAAATTTATGGCTACATTGTTGTCTGCCCTTAACGGGATTAGCTTTTATAGGGTGAGGTTGCCTGGCCCTTTGGTTTTTTAACAGCCTTTGATTAGAAAATACACGTTGGACGTGTATACTGGGATAAATTTTGATGTATATGTACACCTGTGAGACCATCGCCCCAGTCAAGTCCTGTTATCCTAGGTTTTGCAAAAATCTTCTCCCAGTCTGTGGCTTCTCTTTTCCTTCTTTTAACAGTGTTTCTGAACAACAGAGGGTTAACTTTGATAAAGTCCCATTTCTCTTTAGATTGTGCGTTTGTTCTAAGAAATCATTACCTAATCCATGAGGGAACGGTCTTCTAGAAGTTTAAAATTTCAGGTTTTGCATTTATGTCTGTGATCCGTTTGGGCTCTGTGTATTTGTGTGTATGGCTCCACGTCTGACTTCAAGTGCATTTTCTTTGCATACAGATATCAAGTTGTCTAGCAACGTTAGTTGAAAGGCTGTCCTTTCTCCACTGCACTGCCTTTGTACCGCTGTCGAAAATCAGCTGTATCCATTGGTCCTAATGCCCATACTCTATGGTCTTGATTACTAAAGATTTAATATTCTTGAAACGAGTGTTAGCTTTCTAATTTTATTTTTTCATTTCTGTCACTTAAGTAGGCTCCCACCCCATGTGGGACTTGCACTCATGACTGGGATCAAGAGTCGCATGCTCTATGTACTGAGCCAGCCAGACGCTTATACCTTTAAAAGTCACTTTGGCTGTTCTAGGTCCTTTGCATTTTCATATGAATTTCAGAATTAGCTTGTCAGTTTCTACAAAAAATCGAGGATTATTGAATCTATAGAAGAATTTAGGGAGAACTGACATCTCCATTTTAGATGTTCTCTCATCGATATTTTATAGGTCATATATACAGATCTTTCACATCTCTGTCAGATTTATTCCTAAGTATTTCATATTTCTTGATGCTGCTGTGATATTCTTAAATTACAATTCCTGGTTGTTGCCTGCCTCTAGGAATACAGTTGATTTCTGTATATTGCTCTTGTATTCTGCTTGCTAAACTCACTTATTAAAAGAAAAATGAGAGGCACCAGGCTAGCTCAGTGGGAGGAGCATGCAACTCACGATCTTGGGGTTGTGAGTTCGAGTCCCATGATGAGTGCAGAGATTACTAAAAATAAACTTTAAAAGAAAAATTATCACATTTGGCACATTCCTTCATGGCTTAGCCATGAGACAACTCTGTCTCAGCCTCTACTTCTTGCTTGTGTGGAGCCTAAAGACTAGCCTGAGTGAAACCTGATGTTTTCTCAGGCTTTTCTGAGCATCTGTCTACACCAGCCCTAGGTGTGGGCTGTGCTTTCTCAGTTCCTCAGTACACGGTGGGAGCTTTAAAAGGCCTTTCCCTACGTATCTCCTTTCCCAACTTCTTTCTTCCCAGGCTTTTTTGTATGTCTGTTGCCTGTCCCAACTATCGTCCCTTCTCCAAGCTGCTGCAGCCAATTCTTGTGCCAATAAATATTTTTGGCAAAAGCCACCCAGCCTTGGGAACATGGAGTCTGACAAAACAAAGGCCAGCTCTTACTGTTGGTCTTTCCGGGAAATGCCAGAGAGGTCGAAATCCAGTCACAATTCTTTGAGAAGGACTGTATTCCTCCCTCTGGTGCCACAAACATGCACCAGAAATGTGAGCTCTTGTCCTCGTTACTCCCCTCCCCCCCCATTCCCCCCCCCCCCCCACCGGGTGTGGTCGGCAGGAGATTTAAAAAGGTCACAGCACACTTCCAGCAAAGCAACTTCTTCCCCTGGTTAGGGCAAGTTTTTGACTGGATTTCAAGAGTTCTGCAAAAGTTGACTGACAGTTTCTGCCAGTTCATTAGCTGCTTTTATAGAAAGAGCCCTGGAGTTCCCTACACCATTTTCAGTGACATTCCAGTTCTCAATGTTTATACACCTAAAACAGCTTCAAAATACACAAAGCAAAAACCAATAGAACTGAAAGGAAAAAATGGACAAATTTACCAGATAAAAAAGTCAAGGTTCTAGAAGAAACTAATCCCACCAATAACCAGCTGGACCTAATTGCAGAACACCATCCAGCAACAGCAGAAAACATGTTCTTTTGTAAAGTGCATATGGAATAGTCACCAAAATAGACCATATTCTGGATCATAAGCCTTAACAAATTTTTTAAAGATTTATTTTAGAGAGCCCATGCACACAGAGGGGCAGAGGGAGAGAATCCTCAAGCAGACTCCCCGCTGAGCAATGGAGACCAACTCGGGGCTCGATCTCACAACCCATGAGGTCATGACCTGAGCCAAAAGTAAGAGTTGGATGGACACTTGACTGACTGAGCCACCCAGGTGCCCCAAATTTTTTATAAATTTAACTGATCAAAATGTTCTCTGACCATAATGGAATTAAACCATAACAACAACAAACCCTCTCAGAAAATGCCCAAATACAATCTTTAAAAAAAGAAAGTTTCAAATGAAATTCAGATACTTTCAGCTGAACAAAAATTAAAATACGAAATATCAAAGTTTGAGATGTAGTTAAATCAATAGAGGAAATTTTTACAGTATCAAATGCTTATATTAGAAGAAAAGTCTCAATAATTTAAGCTTCTACATTAAACAACCCAAAGTAACCTCACAAGAAGAAAGGAAGTAAACTTAAGAGCAAGAAGCAACGAAGTTGAAAAGACCAAAGCAATACAGAGGAAATAAAAATCTGGTTCAAAAAAAAAAAAAAATTGGTAAACTTTTAGTGATGAGAAAATACTAGGAATCAAAGTAAGGCTATCACTACAGATTCTACAAACTTGAAAGGGATCATGAATGAATATTATAAACCATGCACAGAAATCTGACAACTCAAGTGGACAAATTCCCTGACATAAATTATCAAACTCGCCCCAAAAATAATCCGAATAGTCCTACAGCAATCAAAGAAATTTAACCCATTATTGCAAACCTTCTGAAAATGAAAACTCCAGGCCCAGATAGTATTACCAGTAGATTCTAAATAACACTAATTCTATATAATTTCTTCCAGAAAACAGTAGACAGACCACTTTTCACTCATTTTATGAGCATGACCCTGGTATCAAAACCACAGAAACACGAAACAAGAAAACTACAGACCAATATCCCTTGTGAACAGACACAAAAATCCTTAATTATAGCAAACTGAATCCAATAACCTAAAAGAATACACATCATCACAAAGTAGGGTTTACCCTGACAAGGCTGGCTCTAGATTGCTGGTGGAAATGTAAGATGGGGCAGTTACTTTGGAAAAGTCTGGTGTTTCCTTAAAAAGTTAACTTACCATGGGACCCAGCAATTTCACTCCTAGGTTTTTTTTTTTAAGATTTTATTTATGGGGCGCCTGGGTGGCTCAGTTGGTTAAGCATCTGCCTTCAGCTCAGTCATGATCCCGGTGTCCAGGGATGGAGCCCCACATCGGGCTCCCTGCTCGGCGAGGGATTTTATTTGAGAGCGAGCGAGCATGAGCAGGGGGAGGGGCAGAGGGAGAGGGACAAGCAGACTCCCTGCTGAACAGGGAGCCAGATGCGGGTCTCGAACCCAGGACCCCAAGATCAGAACTCGAGCCAAAGTCAGACATTTAACCAACTGAGCCACCCAGGCGGCCCTCACTCCTAGGTATTAATACCCAATTGAAACATGTTCACGCAAAAATATATTTACGAATGTTTACAACATTATTCATAATAGCAAAAAAGTAGAAATCATTCAACTGTTCATAAAGTATATCCACACAGTATTATGCAACCATAAAAAGGAATACATGCTACAACATGGATGAACCTTGAAAATACTGTGCTAAGTCAAAGAACCCTGACATAAAAAGCTATATGTTGTATGATTCCATTTATTTTTTTTTTATTTATTTATTTTATTTGAGAGAGAATGAGAGAGAGCACATGAGAGAGGGGAGGGTCAGAGTGAGAAGCAGACTCCCCGCCGAGCAGGGAGCCCGATGCGGGACTCGATCCCGGACTCCAGGATCATGACCTGAGCCGAAGGCAGTCGCTTAACCAACTGAGCCACCCAGGCGCCCCTATGATTCCATTTATGTGAAACATCTAGAATAGGCAAATCATAGAAATAGAAAGTGAGAGTAGTGGTTGTCAGGGGCTAGAGGTAAATGGGCAGTGGCTACTAATCGGTAAGGGGTTGCTTTGGAGGGTTAGGAAAATGTTCTGAAACTAGATTGTGGTTATGGTTGTTGCACACTGTGAATATACCAAAAACCACTGAGTTGTGTAGCTTAAAAGGGTGAACTCTGCGGTATGTAAACAATATAATTTTTAAATTAAATCACTGTAATCTACCATATTAACAAACCAAAGAAGAAAATCCACATGATCGTATCAATTGATGGAAGAAAGCATTTAACAAAATTCATGATAAAAACTTCCAGAAAATTAGGAAAAAAAGGAATGTTCCTTAACCTGATAAATGGCATCTACCAAAGTCAACTCATAGGTAACATATAACGACTAAAGACTGCATGCTTTCCCCGTAAGATCACAAGGGAAAGAGGTCTACTCTCACTACTACTATTGAATATTATACTGGAGGGTGCCCGGGTGGCTCAGGCGGTTAAGCGTTTGCCTTCAGCTCAGGTCATGATCCTGGGGTCCTGGGACTGAGTCCCATGTCAGGCTCCCTGCTCAGCCGGGAGCCTGCTTCTCCCTCTGCCTGCCACTCCCCCTGCTTGTGCTCTCTCACTCTCTCAAATAAATAAAATCTTAAAAAA